GTAATAATTTAACAATCAGCGAACTGTCAAAAGAAAGGTTGCACAACTAAATTTGGATTTCATGTTAGATGAGATTTACAAACTTAGGGGAAAAACAAACATTCTTGATGCTTTAATCTTCAGACATGCATCTTTGACCAAAATTACCAGACACTATAGTGGTAATTGGAAATATTGGCATTTCTCCTCTCAGGAAATATAATACAACGATGTATCAATCATAAACTTACAGTTCCTAACACGTCGCTCACGTCAACTGCTGCAAATTCACATGAGAGGGCTGGAAAGCTACAGAAATTCGATAAATGTTAGTCCAGAATTTAACAAAAGATAAAAAGAAGCTTCAGAGTACAAGTTACACAAAACTGAAACAGACAATCGAGATTCTATTTCTAAATTAACAAGCTTGCTCCTTGTTCATAGTCTACATTAAGGGGAAATGAGAGAAAAGAAACAAACAAACAACCAAGAGAAATTGAGGTTTTACTGATCCAAAAGGACGACATCACATGTAAACAAGAGATCTTGCAATAGTCTTTTATTTTTTATTTTTGTAATTCTGGTCTCACATTAAAAATGGCATTCCGTCCATCGGGGAACACATTTTAAGTTGCTGATCTTTTAAAGCCTTGAGGCATCACAGGAACAAGTTAAAACTCCGAATATTAATTTAATTATTGATGAATGAACAATTAACAGTGCAATTAACAGCATTAAGCAAAATAACATGTCCTTACATGCTAATGCACAGAACCTTGTACAAAAGACAGCACTATTAAGAGAAGACAGGCCTAATTTTATATGATTCATTTACCTGATATTAAACTCAATGCGTAAAAATTCGCCATCACTACTATTGTCGACAATCACAGAAGTAGATGTGTTCACTGCTAGATAGTTACTCAGCTCCTGTAAATGACCAACATGTTAGATCAACATACCAGCAAAACAAATCTACCAAAAAGAAAAAAAACAGTCCCATGACCGACTTCTGTGGGTGCTCACTCATTAAATGATATAGCTAATGATGATTTGCATGCTGACAACCTTAATGCCTGCTAAAGACGCAGGAGTAGCTTACCATTCCAAACAGGAAAACCATGGCCAGTGCAGCTACTATGGATAATCCGGCACCCGATAACGATGCTTCAGTCAAATCTCTAGGTATTTTCCTGTACACCAGAATCAAACATTAAAAGAAGAAGAAGAAGAGCATGAATAAACATGTAGATTCAAGAAATCGAATCGAGAAAGAACAGGAATATAAGCAGCAGGACAACAAGCAATTCTCCATCGCCCTCATTTAGCCAAGCAAAGTAAGTGATAAGCTACAGCAACGAATTCTCATTTTAGATAACATTCCTGCTTCAAGTAAAATTTCCACATGAAAACTTCAGCAAGGAAGGATCGTCAAGTGATGCAACTTCAAAAGGCTACCGAGACTCTCTCAGCAATGAGCATTGCAGAATTCTAGCGGAGATGAGACGCGATTAGTCATGAAAACGGCTAATTTGATCAAACATTTGTTACTATGCTAAAGGATACCAACTCCACCCAGACATCTACTGTAAATTACAACTGCAGGCTGCGAGCCTAGCACAAGCTAAGAGACAAGAGTAGAATTGGAAATCATTCGCCCAACGCCGCCCAGAGGCACCGATCAAGCACTGGGAAAGAAAGGAAAACGAAATGGGCGAGCGATTGTCGCCGGGTTCCAATGCTCTGACCGCGGCCGGCGACGCCGCAATTCAAGAATTCCAGATCCGTCGAGGACCGGAATGCCGCGGAGATAAAAACGAGGAACGGGAAGGAAATGAGGAGAGGAGTGATTTGGAGAAAAACCTGTAGAAATCCATGGATTTCAGCCTGCTCGACGAAAGGCCCGGCATGGCTGGCTGGCTGGTTGGAGTGGGAAAGGGTGCTGTCTCTGAAGCGTTTGAGCAGCAGATTGCAGCGATGGAGAAAGGGGGAAAGCAGGAAGGAGACTGACTAGGAAGCGAGTGGAGCCGGGAAAGAGAGGAAGAGAGAATTGAGCGAGAAAACGGAATCCCAAGAAACAAGCGGAAAATGAAAATAGATCTGTTTGGTAAGTAGAGGAGGACGAAAAAGGAGAGCCTGAGGCGGAGTACGATGAGAAAAATGGAAATTCGTCCTTTTCATGGAAATGTGTTTTTAAATTATTTCCATGAATACGAATTGTGCCATCCACTCTAACCCTCTTCTTCGTATGTTTTTTTATATTTTGTCTTTTGGAGCTAGATGAATTGGTATCCTACCTGTCAAACCGGTTAATGTTGCCGTGACGATTTCGTAAATGGTATGGTTAGACCGAGTTTTATTTAACAAAATATATGTAGAAATGTGAAAAGGCATTAACATTTTGGCTCTCGGGGACCTTGATGAACTGATAGCCTACCCTCTGACTATTCTCCATGTAAAGGTCGAATAGGGAGAGTGTTGGATAGAATGCTTTGTAGGGTTGGTCCCGTATAGAGGTGACAGATAGATTGGATTCATAGATTGATGGATCCGTGGATCAAATGGAGTCATGGATTGAATCATGAATTCAAATGACATCTAAATATTGGACCAGTATGTAAATTTTGAAAAGTCCGGGTACTAAAATGTCATAATAAATATTTCAGGTACCAAAACGTAATTTTCCAATGATAATTTCTTCAAAAACTAAATTTCAGGTGTCAAATTGTAAATAAATAAAATATAGGTACTGAATTTTAATTTTATCAACAATCCATCTAATTGGATTTGAATCAAATTAATTACATTAATTGGATATTTAAATGGATAGATTGGATTGTATACAAAATTCTCACATCTAGACTCTAGTCTATTCCTTTTTTTCTTGTGTCTATATCGTCATAGCAGGTTTGTTCACGAACAACCTTTGTACCCTCGTGAAAATATTCATGAATTAGGCAGCTCTTATTCGAAAGGATGCAACTTCTTAAGTGCTGTAGGTTCTACTCCTGCTAATAATTTAGCCCACTCTCTGTTGTTGCTATGAGGTAAGCACAAGGAGATTTGACTCGTTGGTATTAATTAGGCGGTTCACTCACCCACCCTCTAGGTAGAGCCTTTTAATGTAGGGTTAATATATTTGTATGACTCCAACTTTTCACATATTAAACATCCTCGTCAATCTTTTCGATCTATAATTTTGTGGCCTCAACTATGCATCAAAGTTACGAAATTGGCTATATCTGAGATTTGACCTTTATATTGAACGGTCAACGCGCCACGTCACTGCGAAGTCATCACATACCACTTTAAAATTTTAGTTTTTCCACCTATTACCATTAAATTTATTTTGTTTTTCTTTTCTTCTTGTGGTTTGTGCTGACTTTACAGTGACGTTGCGCGTTGACCATTAGTCAACGCGTTTGACTGTCAGAGATAACGGTCAAATCTCGGATTTAGCCAATTTCGTAACTTTAATGGATAGTTGAAGCCACAAAATTATAGATCGAAAATATTAGTTGGATTCAAAATGTTTAATATATGAAAAACTAGAGCATACAAATATATTAACGTTGTAATGTATACAATGTTGTCTTCTATTATCTATTAGGCCCCTTCGTACCCTGGGTTTTCCGGCAAGGTAGTGTCACACCTAATTCCTCATATTGTCCTAGAAGAATATAGCATCAACTTCATCTAACAATGCTTGATGGAAAGCGCGATACTATGTAAAAGTATTTTGGTGATCTAGAAGCGTAAAAGCGTAAGTTGTTAAACTTTAAACCGCGATTTTGTCTACAACAGTAATAAGAAAAAAGCATGATTCTAAGTATAAGCATTTTTTTTGTTAACGCTTTTTAAGCTTCATAACGCAATTTCCACGACATTGCTCCCAACCACACGAGCCTAGTAAATGCTCATTCTCTAGTAATGTGCACCGTCATCCCTATGGATTCACTACAACGTGTTGGACACGTTGTAGTAGTATGAGCTAGCATCCTTTTCTCGTGCCATAGGAAGTCATAACAACAAGGATAATCTCTTGTTCGGAAAAAGAACTACAATGTTTGTCGTAACACTTAATTTTATAGTATTTGATGACATTTTTCACTAACAATCACAAATTTTCTTGATTGATCAGCTGAAACGAGAAGTTGTAGTAACCAATTCTTATTAATAAAATTTACAGGTCCCAATATAGAGAAAAAGGTCTTTTACTTGGCGCAGGAGATCTTAACAATTCAATCAAACATATAATTAATCTTCTTAACAAAAAAAAAAAAAAAAAAAAAGAGAAGGTAGAGACATAATTCAAAAAACAACCAGACGAATATTTATGCCCTTTATTACCAATGAAAATTATAAAATTATTGTTTCATAGTCTCATTATTGTATTCCTCAACCAGCAGAGACATTTTCACTTATAACTATTTTGTCTTCTTCTTCATGGGATGTTCCACCACCAATAGTAGTACCAGTACCACTCAGAAACCAGAGCTTTCTCATCTTCTGCAGGCACCATTCTGATATCAACCTTTAAGCTTTTCTCCTCCTCTTATGCTTGAGATCTTGATGTGGTACATTGGTGAGGTTGTGTGCGTTCATATATATATAGTGGTAATCGTACGATACCGCGCGCGACAGAATTGAAGACAAGGCCATTGAAACTGTGGTTACCAATTCTGGTGAGCTGATGGACTATGTAACTGGCGGAAGAGGCGTTGTTGTTGATAAATTAATCTCATAGATTGGATTAATCCTTAAAAAGGAAACTGAAATCGTGTGTAAATTCGGTTATGGTCACTAATTTTTATGATCCTAGAAACAATGTTTCGACAGTATCATAACTACTCTTGCTGGAGAAAATTCAATTTCTGGTGCAATCTGTTCTAGTAGCTCCGGGGGCAACCAATGGCGCGAGTCGCGCATCGAGCTTTACTGCGATCGTCGACAATACTAGCTACCCCGATCTAGAACAAACACGCACCTTAGATCGAAGAAGTAGTATAGTGGTGTTGTACCACCTACAAGTCTAACAAAATGAAAGATGAAGTAGTACTAGTTTGACAAGCAGGTTGGATGAATCCACCAAAAATGCATCATCCTCATCTTCATTGTTCAACCACCTGTATAATGCGACTTGTAGTTATGAAGGTCAGGTCAGGTCTGCATTTCTATTTATATTTTGGACGCCGGCAGGTTTTTCAACTCATCCATCACCACCAGACCAAAAATGCATAACCATCGACGCTCTTCCCCGCCGCCACCGGCTCCACTTCATGGACAGCCTCCTCCTCCACCGCCACCGCGGCCAGAATTCCATGATCATCTCGCACCACCGCCGCCACCAGTACTACCGCCTCCTAATCAACCAGCTCCACATCCTCTTCCTCCCCCTCCTCCTCACGGAGGTCACGGTGGACCTCCGCCGCCGCTGCATATGCCGTGAACCTTTCCTTTCAAGCTTCAACGTAGCATCATCAGATACCTTCGAGCTTTTGGCTGGATTATATCTACGTATATGACCACCTAGCGTATAATCATACATCTACTACGTAGTTCTTGTTACATGTAGAAAATACAAGATCGACGTATATATGCTTCAATAATTTTCTTTTCCATATCTCATTTTACACACAATATTACTAGCTTGTGATCGTGGATGATTCAATCGTAGTGATTGTTTCACATGCGAGGTTAACATCTAATACGTGAACGAATTGATCGTTATACTCATCCCCTCTCACGATGCCTCTCGATCGTCGTGGCTAATTTCGGAGAGCAGTAGATGAAACTATCGGTGTCAACACTTTCGCTACACGGGAAAACCCAGATCACATCGACTCGCAATCTAAAACTAACAAGTTTCGAACAACAGAGACGCCATCGAAAATGCTTCTCTTTCTTCGACGAGCTGAGGCAGCAGAGTCATCATGTTCTCGGGAAGATATCAGAAAAGGAGAAGTCGTGGAAGGGGGAACCTGCAAGTAAAAAGTTCATCCATCACAAACGGTTGCTTTGTTGAGCCACATATTATACCAGGACTAAATCAGAAGCAAGCAAGATAATACTGATCAATGAACTCCAGGTGACAAAACCAGAGGTTGGTGGTGGTTAGGAATGTGCACCTTCCTGTTCTCCGAGAAGGTAGAAGGGGATATGTGCAATCATCTTGGTGCCGCCATCACTCCAATTAACAGTTCCTGGTTTTTGCACGCGCCCCTGGGAAGGCCCCAAGACGGACAAGGATATTGCAGGATCATCGATCAAACCCAGGTAATCTCGTGCACGCCTCCAAACCCTCACATCTGAGATGCGAGATCTAGCGACCTGCAAGCAAATGTTGCTTCGGATTACGATAATTATTTTGATGAGAAGCTGTCAAATGCTGGAAATTCAGCTGGAACGTGCCTTGCCTAAGGACACACGGGCTCTTGGTAACAACTCATGGTGATGTGTGGCCAACTTTGCGATAGCTGTTATAACGAAACACAGAAGCCGGGACTGTGATGACTTTCTGAAGTTTTCGCTGTCTGATCCAAGTGCGGATTCCCTTAAGCCAAGCCGGCTTTTGAGTGCAGCAACTAATTGAGTCAGCAATGGCCATATATATATAAAAAAAGTAAGAGATAACATAGAATCTTCAATGGTAACGCACCTAGATGACAAGTTTTCATAGAGAAGTAGCTCTAGATTCTCAAATAGCTCGCGTGCAGCATCTCTGTGAGATGTACCACCGCCGCCATGTTCACCAATCGCCCAACACAATTGTAATGCTAGTTCTGTCTGTAAAAGCAAACAAAATTGCTGTAGGTGAAAAGTGAAGGCAGAAGAGGGAAAAAAGGTTGCAACTTTAAACTGTGTGATAGGCAATATTAGCCAATGACTTCATAATGATCACTACATTCTCACCTTTGCAGAACTGTCATAGGCTTGTCCAAGCCTGTCCATAATAGGTTTCTGCAAGTAGATCAGGAGAAACAATGCTGAAGCCAGTATACAAAGCATTTCTCAATTGATTCCAGATCCATGAACTTCCAAATAGGACAAACATCCTGCATGAATCATTGCATTGCACCACAGTTTGTTGCACAAACCCCAAAACGATCCATACGTCAACAAAAAATACTAGCTAAACCAAGAGCTATGTTCCATTAACTTATTCTTACATCGGAAATGCAATTGGAGCCCACAGGTGTTCGAAGAAGTGGAAGCAAAATACCTTCAGAAGAGCAATAAAATTTGGAGAACGCTGAAACGATGTGAGCATAAACTCTAAAAGCCTTTTACGAACCTGTCAGAAATGGAAACATAGACAATAAGAAGTCATTCTCGATGTATATGAAACACACTATGCAAATCTTGCCTGATAACTACATGACCAAGCATGAAAAGATAAAACATCATCGAAAAGTGAAGAACCAGCCACTTAGTATTTACACAGTTAGAAGGCATGATCTGTAATACTGCCAAATTGTTGAGAAGGCAGAATAAGCAACCACACCCTGATCAAATAATAACTAGGAGAAGGAATAAGCAGCCCCACTTACCTGGTATGAGTAATTTTTGTCAGGAAATAGTACATCATTTCTCGCCATAAGCAACGGGATAAGTGAACAGATCAAAGCTGCAAAGGTGGTGAAAATTTACATAAAACTGAGAACTGATAGTTTATATATCACATAAAAACTTCTCAAAAAAAAAAAAAACAGCTCAAAGTAAAAAATGGACATGGTAAGCATACATACAGTCATTGACATCACGTATTGCTATAGCACAGTAAACATCAAGAAGGCCAGGTGCTATTTTGAGCGATTGTTTCAGCCTATCCGATTGAGGAGCATTAACTGCAGCCTGCAATGCTGCAGCCATACTGGGAGATGTTCTATGCCGCTCCTGCAATATAAATTTAGGTTTTGTTGAACAGCATGAAGAAACTTTACAGTTTTTGTTAAATATTGGCTACACTGGTTCTGAAGGCATAAATTTCAACTTCTCAACTAATAGATTTAAAATGTCTTCAATTGAAGAATAGACGTTAAAAATCTGAAAAGCAAGGAAATTAACCAAGCATTTTCAAAATATACGAAGAGGCAGAGATATAGCCTAAACAACATGTGCTTCACTGATTAAAGCAGATAATATGATGCAATTCAGGAATGAACATCTGAAAAGCGATCAGAAGCACGTGATTTCCAGCAGTCCTCATAATGGAAGACATATTCACCTACTCTGCTGCTTACACATTCTAGAAATTTCTAAATTCGATAAGACTGAGAATAAAAGTGATCATACAGCTAATCCGTCATTCTCATCCTTCAGAAGTTCTAGAAACAAAGGATCAGCAGCATCAATCGCATTGGTATCCTCTGATTCACTGTCAGCCCCGCCATCTCCTATAGTTGAACCAGTATAAGCTTCATCCATCAGAGCTAGTAACATCTACACCAAGAAAAAATTAAGCTGATAGTAGTACAACGAAGTCTTGGCAAAGCAAGAAAATAAAAAGATGTTCAAAAAATAACCTCAGGAGCCGTGCTGTTCTGGATTGAGGCAATACTGCTCCCAATAAGGGAACCTGAACTTCGCTCCACCCTTTCCATTGCCACTACCAACACTGGTACAGAGAAAGGCAGACATGATTGTAATTGAGTCAAGGTGAAGAGGGAATGAACAGAGACAAACCACTGTTTAGAGCACAATCGAAACCTACAAACCCCTTTTCCTAGAAAAGAGCTATGCATGCAGATGACAGTTTGACAAATGTTCCTTCTAGTGATCATCACAATATTTCAGAGTGACATTGTCTCCATCTATTACATGTCACAATGGATAATTCGACACATACAATCTGGAACCCAGAAAACCTTTATTCAACCGGAATAATACCATAAAACCTTCAGCAAAATGGCTGAATCCCATTAAAAAGAAAAACCGTAAAATTTAGAAGATCATGAAACAGCGACAGACTGGCAACAAAGCATTTACAGCAATTGAATCTGTCACCGTGGAGAAAATTGTTAAAGTGGCAACAGCAGGACAATGAACTTACTTGGAAGATCCACTAAGGAAGGAAATAGAGGAAGAAATGAAGCAGGCGATATCAATTCCGGAAAGACCTTTAAGAATGATAGGAGTAACCTGGAAAAAAGAGCTAACAGCAGTTAGCCAGACACTCTGAATAACTTGATAAATCAACTTAACTCCCAAGTAAAAGCATATGTAAAAATTAAGTTCAGCAGACTCTATCTCTACAAGACAGAGGCCACCCCAAAACATTTAAAAGGACTAACAAACCTTAAGGATCAACTATATAGCTCATGGTGACATCAGAATGCACATATATCAACAAAGGATCTAACTTTACCACTAAGTTGAGAAAATGATTTGCTATGACTATAACAAGCAATCCTGAGCACTAGCATATCCGCCCAGATGTATGGCAAGTGATAACAGATTAAGAAAAGGTTACCAGCTTAAGAAGAAATGCAACAAAAAGGAAAAAGGACTTACTTTTCTCCATTCCAGGCTATCAGCTTAAGTAACAGTGGAAAAAACTGCAACCAAATTCATATCCCATTCAACATTAACCATTTTGGACACAAAGAATCCATGAATAGCTGGATAAGCCACAATATACCATGGGCAAACTAGTCTTTCACAGCATACTCTAGAATCAGAAATTAGATCCACCTTATCTCTAAAAGTACACCCCCCCCCCCCCCCCCCCCCCCCCCGGGAATATTTACTTCCCCTTTGATGTTATTCCACCTCTCAGGATTTGCTCAGCGAAAAATGTTAGTTGTGGAGTTAAAGAAGGACCACATCTAAGTGGTGAAAGTATGCGTTATCTCAGGAAGTGATACATGGAACCAGGAAGTGGAAACACAATTCACAATTGGTTTCTTTTTCAACATATTATTTTCCTCTCAAGTTCCTGTTGTGCCTTCATGCTAAAAATAAAGCTATCATGCAATTATTGGAATATACTGGACACAGTGTTTTGCCATGTATAATTCATACTTGAGGTAGTAAGGCAGGATAAGAAGCCAGAAGCTTTCTCTTGTTGACATTCAGAAAATTAAGGGTTGCCTCTGCCACAGTCAGATCTGCAAATTCACTGCAATTAACATTAGAATAAGGACGGCTCGTGGTCGAAACCAAATTTATCAAACATAGCATAGCCATCACTCAGGATAATAAAAAAACACAAGATTCTGAACTCCACCAATCTTGGTCAGCGACAAAAAGGAAAACAAGGCATTTTGTGGATCTAACAAAGACGATCACCACGATCAGGAGGAGAATGAAGATTCAGCCAATGCAACCAATCTAGAGACTGCTGCCTACACAATTCATTTTCAACAATCTTTTCATTCTCTCTTTTTTGTGGTTCGAACTAATCAAGTCCTGATACACACACACTAGTTAACTACATATTTCATTGAATATTACTTGCTCTTTTAGTTTATAAGTTGATGCCAAGGACCTGTAACCTTACCGACTCAAACACGAGCGAAAAAATGATCTTAGACTGGGATCAGCATCATGCAGAACAATCTCTCCGAAGTCGAGGAAAAACTGAATAATGTCCTGAATCAAAGAAGAAAAATCAACATCAGCCCATTCCAGTTTAGATTTAAATTTTAAATTCTGAGGATGAAGCTAAGAACGAAGAAAATCCAAATCAATGCAAGCAGCGGTCCACTAAAAGCCATAGCAGTTCAGAATACATGAAACCATAATGCAGTATGAAGTGTTGGACGTCTTCAAGTTCTTCCCTGCATTTCCACTCTTCAACCTCACAGCCTCACAGGGCATAATTACAAAATACCAATTACCCGCTAATCATATGTCCGCAAAATTACGCTCGTAAATAAACTGACCAGCAAGAGAAGTCCATAAGAGGAGCGAGATTGAGGAAGAGACGCCACGGATCGCTGAAAGAGCTTGTTAAAGTGCGGATAAACCCTAGCAACCAAATCCTCCGAATTCTCTTCTTTACACAACTGGCAAAGCTTCCTCACCTACAGAACGCAAGCAAGCATCAGAAATTTCTGTGTTCTCTCTATATAACTCAATACCGACGAACAAGCGACAAGGAGGAAGATGATTACGGCATTGAGGAGAGCCTCGGATGCGGGGTCCCCGGCCAAATTGGAGTCTCTCGCACTGCTGGATAATGTCCGAAGATAAAAATCCCATTTCTTGTCCGGATCTCCCATTTTTATCTCCTCGGCCGATCGCAAATGGAATTCAGTCTGAACTCTCGCCGGCGGTTTCTTGACAAATTACAGAGCTCTGGAGTGGAGAGGCTCGTCGTCGGGAAGAGAGGCCAGGCCGGCGGTGGATATTTTGGTTGCTGAAGACGATTGCCAAACGACGGCGTCTTGCTGAACTGACAGATACTCGTTTAAACGATGTCGTTCGATGAATCTCACTGTCCAATCAGATCAAGCCCATAGTGTTGTGGATCACGGGTCGATTGGGCTTAAAATACGCCACTGGACTTGTAGATGGGCCGCCCATTACCCAAAAAAAAAAAATCCCTAACCGCCGATGATAATACCCGCGAAATTTGGTCGGCGATGATCCGTTTGCGTCACTCCAGTTCTTCAGACAGAACAACAAGCGCCGCACCGCCCGCACCGCAGTGATGGGAGGAAACGAGAGCAGAAGAAGCCAAAGTAAGGAACAATTTGATGCGGGCGGGCGTCATTTCCTCCGGCCGGCCGCCGATCGATTAGCCCGAAGAAGAATCACAAAGCTTGCTCCTTTTTCCAAGGATTGTGATTTTAATGGCGAAAGGGAGAGCGGGCTAGCCGCTGCTGCTGACGCTCGCCCGAATTAACTTTTTCCAATACCCTGTACTTGTCGTGGCCTTTTGAAATTATGCCGAAAAAACCCAACACTGAAGTTGCTCCGATGGTTGTTGTTGCCAGCGGCGGGTTCAACTTATCCATCTACTACTTCAGTGGGGCCCTTGCACGGCAAAGTGAAGCTTTCTTTCTCTGTCTCACCTACTTCCACCATTAACTCCCCACTCCCCTTTTTGCTACTGCTGCTTCTTATAATCATATCCCAGCTTCACTGGTTTTCTCACTCGGACGGTTTCCTGGTTTTGTGCTAGTCACAGAGAAGGAGCGCAGAGTTAATTCGCCAAGAGGAAGAAGACCAAGAAGAAGAGAGGGAGACGTCTGCATTTCTCCTCCCCTCTGCCGAGGTTTGCTAAAAAATTGCTGCTTTTGATTTGCATGGACAAATTGCTTGCTTTGGGTTTTCCTGGCCTTTATAGAACAGTGCTTGAGGAGTCTCCTTTGATCTTATTTGGGGATTTGTGTCGTTTACTGAATTTGCATGCTTTGTTGTCTCTGAAGAATGTTTGTTCATGTTGCATGTTGTTCTGTTCTTAGGCTGTACAGCTTTTTAAGTCACCTATCCCCACCAACAGACCAGTTAAGTGGAAATTTGGTTGCAGCCGCTTTCAGCTGTTAGAAATTTGGAGTGATTTGCTCTTCCTTTTCCTTACTTACCATTCAGTTTCCGGGTATCCTCTGATGAACCCTTTGCGACTTTAATGAGGGTAGAGTAATTTGCTGGCATGATTCTGCTAAGAAGTAGTGCATGTGTGTCCATCAGTATGAGTTAAATCTCTCTGGTCTGGCTTATGGTTCTGCTATGCTTTGCGATCTCAGTCTTATGGTCATAGAGTGTTTTATATAATATTATTTTATATCTATTGTGCTAGATTTTGATTCTGGGCTCTGCTTTGTTGTTGGTATCTCACTGAGAGAATTATGCAGTTCAATTGAAATATTCCCTTTGCCCTGAACTTCTCTACGTGATTCTCCTGTTTGTAGATGGTGGATCAGCATGGAGGTTACAACGTGGATGAAGCTCTTCTCTCTGTTGGGTTTGGAAAGTTCCAAATCTTTGTCTGCCTTTATGCTGGTATGGGTTGGATTTCAGAAGCAATGGAGGTGATGATTCTCTCATTTATTGGTCCATCGGTGAAGTCTCAGTGGGATCTAAGCGCCAATCAAGAGACCCTACTATCCGTAGTGGTATTTTCCGGCATGTTACTCGGTGCATACATGTGGGGTGTGATTTCAGACAAATTGGGGAGAAGGTAAGTGCTTTGTGATTCTTTCCTTTTGGCTGGAGTTATATATTATTAAGGAAACAAAGGGCTACAGGTCTTAGTTAGTGCCAACATGAAGTGGTAATTGCATCTTTGTTCCTATCAAGTGTCTTACGTTGTTTGATAGTGATCAAGTGTCTTATCAATTATTATATATATATTTATCATGTTCACAAATTACGTGATGCGACTTTGGTGCCCCTTTCCTATTTCATTTCGGCTCCTTACTGGATAATGCTTTTGTTCTTTACTGCTTTCCAATATCTGTTCAGGAATGGATTTGTGGTCACAGCATTCGTTACGTCTCTAGCTGGTTTACTTAGTGCCTTTGCCTGGAACTATGTTGTGTTGCTCATTGCTCGTTGTTTGGTTGGTGTTGGCCTTGGAGGAGGGCCTGTACTCTTCGCCTGGTTCTTGGAGTTCGTCCCTGCAACAAATAGAGGCATGTGGATGATTATTTTCTATTCATTTTGGACGGTTGGAACTATTTTTGAAGTCGGTTTAGCATGGGTAGGTTCACGAAACCTCATAGCTCCGTACTTTTAGTTTATCATTACAAATTCAGTTTTTGTACTTAGTTCTCTTTTAACGGCTGCTAACACCGTATATGGTAATATACAGATCATTATGCCAAGATTGGGTTGGAGGTGGCTGGTTGGTCTTTCTGCTCTCCCTTCATTTGGTCTCCTTGTATTTTATCCTCTCACACCTGAGTCCCCGAGATACCTCTGCCTAAAAGGTAGAAAAGACGATGCCCTTAAGATTATGGAAAACATAGCAAAATTGAATAAGAAGGAACTGCCTCCTGGCGTCCTTCTTACCGATCGTGAAATTGAGCTACAAAGACAAGTCTCGAAGCCAGAGGCATCTGCCACTGATTCGCCTTCTTCTGCCCCTAGATGGAAAGATTCTGACTTGGGTGTCATCGAGACTCTACGGATGTTGCTTTCTCCAAGATTAATTCGCTCAACGATACTCTTGTGGTTCATATTCTTTGGGAATGCATTTTCGTACTATGGTCTTGTTTTGCTCACTACTGAATTAAACCGTAAATCTCATTGCAATTCGAACGGAACACAATCGAACGACAAGTCAGATGCTGGTGTTGACTATAAAAATGTTTTCATTACTACTTTAGCAGGTTTGCATATTACTAACTACACCCCTTCTCTATTGTTTTGCATCAACTTATCTTTTCAAGAAAACATTGCTGACTGGTGATTGTGCTACTGTTTTTCATTGCCAGAATGCCCGGGCCTCTTAATATCAGCTCTCCTTGTCGATAGGATTGGTCGCAAAATTTCAATGGCAGCTCTGTTCTTCATTTGTATCGTGTTCGTTCTGCCACTGGTCGTCCATCGATCTCCACTAGTGACCACCATTCTCCTATTTGGGGCAAGAATCTGCATCACGGGAACTTTTTCAGTTGCCTCTCTAATGGCTCCGGAGGTAAATGTTTACTTGTGTTCCTTATGAAAATGGCTTATTGTGGCAGGATTTATTTTTACGGCCAATAACCGAAGAACGCCCATGAATTTTCTCAAATGTACAATACTTCAAACACAGAAATTAATCTGTAGCTCCACGAACTGCTCTACTTGAGCGGCCATCTGTCAGGATTATTGAGATGTCCTTTGTTGGTCTTCATATGACTTTTCCATTCTGACGTTGGCCATTACTAGTTGCTCGGCCCCGAGTCTTTAGTGGGTCATATCCTATATCTGAACTTGGCATGTGCTCGCTGAAGCTGCGGAACTCAGACACTATATCTTATTCACAGACTATATGTTTTTCAGCTTGGAAGGACATCTTGACTTCTAGGTTAATTTACTTTACCATGCTTAATTCAGTTTGCTGGCATTTCGTCCAATTTGTTATAGGATAGCAATTGAATGTTCTCTTGTTTTCCTTCCACAACTGCATTTTAATAAAACACATGAACTAGCTGGATTCACCTGAAGGTTTCAGGTTCCAGTCCTCTCGTCTCTTGTGATCTTTCCTCCCAGGCATTCTTCTGCCTCCCCCTTTTATCATAAAAAAGAAGACAAAAACATGAACTGAGTAAAGAAACAAACACTTTTTCTGCAGTAAAATTATGATATTGCTTCTAATATAGGGTTGAGGAGGGTGATAAATCTTTATTTACGCTGCTTTTTTTGTTTTGTTGATGAAGCTGTACCCTACGTCAGTCAGATCAACCGGTTATGGAATTGCAAACTGCGTGGGCAGAATTGGTGGGATGGTATGTCCATTTGCAGCAGTGAAGTTGATGGAATCATGTCATCAACGTGAAGCGCTTCTCCTGTTTGTTGGCGTGATTGTTGTGGGGCTGTTTTCAGTACTGTTGATTCCTTACGACACTAAGGGCCGGGAATTGACAGAGAGCGTATCGAGCACAAAACATGACAAGCATCGCCAAGCTGTCTGAAACTAGGTACGTATACGGCTATTATCATTCCTCTATGGTGCTTGGTGACTGGGTTTCTTCTGGACTGGCTTTCATAAATCTGACTAGATGCCACGTTGGATTCTTGTTGGACCTTAAGGCTTGATTCTAGTAACTCTTGTTTTGTTGATTCTTTCAGTTGACGGATTGAATGGTGAAGACGGCGGCGAGGCAATGGCCGGCGACACAATTTACATTGCTTTTCAGTGTCCTATATAAGTGTTTGTGTGGTATATAAGTGTATGTGTGTAGTGTAATGTTGTGTGGAGTTAGTTTCAAGATGGATGGGGACTAGTTGTGGTTTGTGGGTTGCATTGTCAAATGATGTATGTATGGACTGCAAGGTTATTAGCTCTTATTAACTTCTTGCTGAGGCTTTTTGGGGGCTATCATCATCAGGTAAACCTTGCGTCACACGGCTGCGTTAGTGCGAGAGATGTATCATAATTACAAGTTGTGATGATGGAGGGGGTGCTACTTTAGTTGATCTTTTAGGAGTGGTGGAAATCAGGCTATTGTGCTCACAACACGATTTGTAAGAACGTGTCTGCAGAGGTTGTAATCCTTGGATTCGACCGTTTGGGTGTCGCGCCCGTTGGATGGATGTGTTAGTAACTGTATAAATAAAATGTTATTGAATTCATCCAACGGGCGTAAAGCGTCTATTACCTTATCAGGTAGCTCCAAGCCTCGTGAAAAAGTTCTCACAAATGAGTTGTGAGCAGCCAAACACCATAGTCGAATTGAGTGGTGTGTAGCTTTTTTAATGCGATAGCTAAAGGAATTGTATAATACGAACTAACATATAAATGGATTCAACTCATAAACATTAAAAAAATATATAGACTAATTGGTCCAATTGATTGATTTAAACCAAGTTTAGATATGAGAAAAGGTTGGGAAACCTTATGAAAAGATATATAGTTATATACCTTTATTTATTGTTATTAAAAAGGTTTTCAAAACAAAACGAAAAATATTTATCCTAACCTCAAGAGAAAGGTCTATATTTTTAGTTGATTTCATTTTATCAATTTTTAGAATTCGAAGCAATTGTACGCATGTACTTCTTAAAAAAAAAATCATATTCCCACTTTGCAACCCTTTCTTTTCTCTCTCTTTTTCTTTCTCATTCCCACTAATGAAGTTGTACCGGCAACTAGGACTGAAAATTTGGTACCGGTATTTGAAATATACCGAATTATAGGAGAATCCTTGTTTCGAAATGGGTAACAGAAAACCAGATGATCTAACACTGATCCAATTTATTTGTTTACTTCCTAGTGACACATTGTATGGGCCATCATCTATGCAGTTTGGTTGCATTCTCTCTTTGCCAAACACCGATGGACCGGCCCAATTCATCTAGCCTCTTCATTCAGCAATGATCCAGCTTCCAAGACGGATCCATCGGCCCATGCGATTATGAAGCAGAACATGGAGTCGATCCACCTCTCTAACTCCGCCGGGCTATGAAACTTGTTCCTCATGCTCAAAGCTTCTCATTGCTTATCCCCACGAAACAAGTAAATTTTTAACTAATAAATCGTCAATTTAAACAATCACCTCAGAGTTGGCTGTCATCCCGGATAAAGATAATAGAGAGTTGGACGAAGGGTGACCACTGACCACTGACAAAACGCAAATGTAATATGAATGACCATTAATGCAATTAAAATTTTTTAGTGACGGATATGAAACAAAACCATAAAATCATTGACCAAACATGGAATTTATTAAGCTAGATTGAATTCTAACTAATGAGGGAAGTAGGGATGGCAACAAAACCCGAACCCACGGGTACCCACCCGACCCAACCCGGTCAACGCGGGTAAAACCCGTGTTGACGGGTTTTGGGCCGGGTTTGGGTTTAAACCCGCTACACTATTCACCGGGTCGGGTTGGGTTTGGGTTTAGGTAAACCCGATCCATGGGTACCCGCCCACACACATATAATTACTTTCACGGTATATTTAATATTCTAAATAATATATCTTCCTTAAACAATTAATATTCTTTATGTTTGTGGAGACATGTATAATTTGTTCTTTCTAATTGTTTAGAATGAAGTTGATATTATGAATTGGAGAGTGAAGAAACTTAGTTGACGAGGAAGAAACTTTCAATTAATCTTTTGTTTATAGATGTTTATCTTTAATTTTGAACAATTTGTATTGATCATTTGCGGTTTGCTTGTATGCTCTAGATTGGTGTTTTTTTGTATGATTAATCTGTATGAGAAAATTGATGTTAAACTTTTATTTTGAAAGAAATTTGTTATTGTAAATTTTTTACCACAAAAATCCACGGGTACCCATGAACCCGCGGATACCCAGCGGGGTGGGTTGGGTTTGAGTTTTTCAAACCCAACGGGTTTTACCCCGGGTTTTTTTTTGTGGATAAACCCATGGGTTTGGGTTTGACAAAATCCGCCCCAACCTAGAGGGAAGTTCATATTATTGTGATGGAGGATTAAAATTTGAAAGTGACGTTTCTTTTAATTTGACAAACGTAATATTGTCAGTTTAAGGCTCTTTTCTTACAATGCTACTTTTTTTTTTTTTTTTTTACTTAAAGCATAAAACCAAAATGTGAAACCAACACTACAACGTAAATTACGTAATTAACCTTTGGGAACAATGATTATTCGCATAATTAGTGGGTCTTAAATTTCAATGCGAATATATCATGGAAAAGTTGAATTGAAAAGATAAAACGTTTTCCTCTCTCCTTTCCTTCTTTTAATAGGTTCCAAACCAACCAACCCAATTTCTCAGCTGCCTTTTCCTCAAGCTTCTCCCCTCTTAAAACCCATCAAACACACCTTCAGAAGGCTCATTTATTTTCATCGGCAATTGTTCTCCATTTCTGTTGATTTGGTCCTGTGTGCCATTATAAGATCTACTAAAGCTTCCCATCTTTCATCTAGTTATCGTTTGGTAACTGATCGGCGTAGCTTTTTCTCCTCTGATCTGGTCTTCGGAGAGAGCAGAGCTACTTTACTTTCCCTTTTCCTTCTTGTGCGGCTTTTGGAGCCAATTCAGAGCCAGATTTGGGAGGTAGTCGATCATTTCCAATCACTATGATCTGCTCCCTCAAGCACTCTGCTCTATCTCCCACAACAATCAATGGATCTGATCCGGTTGTCCGCCGGAATACACAGTTGGCGGCGGGGAAAGCCTTCTTCTTGTCACCGATTGGTGCGCCCAAGGGTTTGAAAGGCTCTCTTTTGGTGTCGAAGCCTTTGCATCTCACCTCAATTGAGGCTTTTTCACCCAAGGAGAGGAATGCGCCGCCGCGGTCGATCGTGTGCAAGGCTTATGAAGCGGAGCCGGTTGATGCTGGGGAAGCGAAACCGGAGGCTGCGAGGAAGGCGAAGATCGGAGTTTATTTTGCGACCTGGTGGGCGTTGAATGTCGTTTTCAATATCTACAACAAGAAAGTGTTGAATGCGTTTCCCTACCCGTGGCTGACGTCGACGCTGTCGCTTGCTTGTGGGTCTCTTATGATGTTGATTTCCTGGGCTACGAGGATTACACCGGCTCCCAAGACCGATTTCGAATTCTGGAAGACTCTGCTCCCTGTAAGTTTCACTTTGTGGGCTTTTGTTTGGTTTGAGTTTTGATGTGAAAGTGGGCAAATTGGATTGGAAAGTGATGTTTTTGTTTCCATCTGGGTGATTGTTTTTGTTTTCCTCTTCACATATTTGATGAATTTGTTCCATTCCAGCCATTTCATTTATGGTGATTTTGAGATATGTAGCTACCCATTTTGTATTTATCCCTCTGCAACATCAATTTTGGATTTTTCCTCCTCCACGAAGATATGGAGTCGATTATGGTCATTACAGTGTCTCAAATTATTTTTTCCTTCACAGGTTGCGGTGGCACATACAATTGGGCACGTTGCTGCAACAGTGAGTATGTCTAAGGTTGCAGTTTCGTTCACGCACATCATCAAGAGTGGTGAGCCAGCATTCAGTGTCTTGGTCTCTAGATTCATCCTGGGAGAGTCTTTCCCTGCCGGAGTTTACTTGTCCCTCCTCCCAATTATTGGTGGTTGTGCTCTTGCTGCTGTCACCGAGCTCAACTTTAACATGATAGGTAATTTTTGATTCATTGTGTGCTTTTCACTTTGATCCATCTATATAACCCAACTCGGCTTCAAAATGTGCAACTTCTGAAATAAGTTCTCTCATTTGACAAATGAATAGTAGTTCTGAACTCCGTTTACCATAATCCAAGCGCCAATGCAGTTTAATTATGATTGTTTTCTTTTGTAGTTTTGCTTTCTGGCCTTCTGACAAACCATGTGACATTTATTTGGTCTTAGTCCTCTACTCCTCGGATATATCTCTTGCTAGAGGAGATTATATGTTGCATAGGTTGGAGTTTTGTGGGTTCTCTTCTGACTTGCTGATTGTTTGTGGGGTTTCTGTTGTCCATTTCAGGTTTTATGGGGGCCATGATCTCCAACTTGGCGTTTGTATTTAGGAACATATTTTCGAAGAAGGGTATGAAGGGAAAGTCAGTCAGTGGAATGAACTACTACGCTTGTCTCTCTATGTTGTCCTTGTTGATTCTCACACCTTTCGCCATTGCTGTTGAGGGGCCACAGATGTGGGCTGCTGGGTGGCAAAACGCCCTTTCTCAGATTGGACCCAACTTCGTCTGGTAATTTTCTTGCCAATATGGAAACACCACTGTGGTTGATTCTTTGTTCACTCTTACCGATTATCTACCCCTGCTTCTCTCTAGTGCATTTCTGTAACTTGATTAAACGACAGAGAAGTTGCTCATAACGTTGTAGGTGATGGCTCCCACTTGTCTGACAGCTGCCTAGGATTTCTTGTATCACAGATTTGTCATTTATGGTGTTACATTCTATGCCATTATATGATTGGTCATGTTTGCGGTGAAACCCATGAATGGTGTGTAGTATGCCACCTCATCTGTTCTCAATAATTTACATTATATGGCTGTTAACAAGTAGATGGTTCTGTAGCTGAACACACAAACATGACTGGATTGCAAACTGGTAATGATCAACAACCCATAGATTATTATTAAAAATTACTACGGATAAGGTTGTAAGAGAGTTCAGCGGGTGATGTTGTCTTTGTCTTTCAACGCATGCTCCAGACATTGCTGGTTGACACATGATTTCTCAAATTTCTTTCTCCCCTGCTTGGGTTCTTCGATTTGGTATCTGGATGTGTTGAATGTTGTTTTTCCTTCCGCTTTGTAGGTGGGTAGCCGCACAAAGTGTGTTCTATCATCTTTACAACCAGGTTTCGTACATGTCGTTGGATGAGATCTCTCCCTTGACGTTTAGCATTGGGAACACCATGAAACGGATATCCGTCATCGTTTCCTCGATCATCATCTTCCGCACACCTGTCCAGCCCGTCAATGCTTTGGGAGCTGCCATCGCCGTCCTTGGAACCTTCTTGTATTCCCAGGTAGCCCTCCCTCACCTCTCTTCTCAAATAGTTCCTACTTATTTCTAGTTGTTCCAATCGAAATTAACATATTGAACCTGTACGATTGAGAATAAATATGTGCCGTTATCTTCATTCCCATTTTGTTTGCTCTTGTTTTGAGGAAGCTTGGGTAGTGTTGGAAGTTGGAACATAAACATAGAGCTAGGTTCTGAATAGCAGGGTAAAAAACAGTTTGCCGGAGAACCAAAGGACTCAAACCTCCACGTACTCTGTTGGTGTTTATAGAAATTAATTATGGTTACTTAATTTGAATTGTATCCTTGTCATGGATTAGACCATCCCACGTCTGGCCCCTCACATTGTGCATTACCTCCTAATGGAAAACATTTTAAAAATGGTTTCTTCAAGTGCGTGTATTTTTAAAATTTCCATTATCTACAATTCCATACCAAACACGAAGTCTAGTCTAAATGTTAGGTGAGATCTAAGGTCCTTAAGCATCATGTGATGTGAGGAACCATGCTATTTACTTGCCTAATTAATCTTGTGTGGAAGGTGGGATGTTTATTTCTTGGCCTTGTACCTTGTTATTATCATTATTATTCACATTCTCATATTAGCTCTCATCTCACCCAACCGAAGGGTTGGTGTGATGATGAGATAGGCGACTTTTAGTGTGCTTCAGGGGTCAAAATCACAGGTAAAGCAATAGATTGATGCTCACCTAACTTTGTTCTAAGAATATGCTATCTTATTCTCTTTCCCTTTATCTGAAGTCAAAAGATTGACTTGGTATAAGCAAAAACTCAAGCATCATGTGGGAATATGCTCTTTGTTTGCTGAAACAACCTATTTTAAAGCTTTGATGGCTGGGCTTATGGGAAGTTTCGTTTTGTTTGTGGATGCAGGCTAAGCAATGATCTAGAAGTGGGGAAGAATAAGAAAGGAAGAGGTGTCTAAAAGCAATTCTTGTTGGGTTTGGTAGGGTTTGGTTAAGCAAAGGTGGAATGTGGATGATGAAGTAAAGGAAAAAAATGTTTAATTGTCAAAGAGGATGGTCTGAAATGCAGACAACAGAGACCATGAGGACTGGTTCTTTTTAATTTTGCTATACATTTGTTGTTTTGTAGATAATAAGGTGAAATAGTTAAGAGTGGAAGAAAAGAAAAGACGGTAGGAATGATGATAATAATTTTGTGCCTCATTAACAGGAGCAGCAAGAAGCTGTCGGCGGGAGCGCGAGTATTCTTCTTCACTTTTTTTCCGCAGCTTGCTTTGCTGAACAGAGTTTGAGTTGAGCTACTTTGTGTTCTAATTTTACATTTTTTGGCAAAATAAAACCGGGAGAGCCAAGAAATCCCTCCGTAGTCCGCATTTTGTTTCAACCATTGCTCGATTAAATCAACACAAATATATCGAACGGTTCACTTTTGATAAACATAGACATAGCAACCTAAGATCTTCATCCTAATCCCTTGTTCTAGTTGAGCATCATCTCAAAACCTTCAATATTCGTTGTTTCATATTATTTAGTTTAAAACCAAATATGTAAGCAACGAACATTTTGGAGTAAAAATTGCATTAGAACTTCTTTGCATCCCAGCCTACATAGTGCCATACAACAAACCCCTACCCTGTTTACTTCTTAGTCGTAAAATTTTGTGTTGGAGGTGGAAGTAGTAGCACCACTAAACATAATTTATATGCCTAAAAATATAATTAATAAAGTCCAATGCGATCTTAAAAACAAAATCCAATTGGATGACCAAACCTCAAATTGAAAACCATAAAAGAAGGTTGTGATCAATGTAAGAAAGTTTTATTATTTTTGTTCAAAATTACAATTAATCTGAAGAGTAGAATGACTATGAAAATCTAATACCCATTTTGTTATAAGAGAAGAGTTCATTAAACCTAGAAACCAAGTGTTGGATGACTCTGTTGGGTGGAACCGACCAAGTACAAGTTCATATAATTCAAACAAAACGCTAAAATTGAACAAAACATTGTGATTTTACTGAATTTAAGATTCTAAAACCAAATTTCATGGTATTTTAAGGTTCATCACGGTAAGAGACAAAAAAAGGATTGGAACTTACATATATAATCTTAAAATCGTCTCTATCACCTCTCTTCCAACTCTCCTTCACCTCTCCCCCAGCCGACAAAACTTGTATACAAAATGATTACACACAATATTTACTTTTGAATCTCATCTAAAAAGATGGGAAGATATGTTTTAGAAACTCACTGAAAACTTAGAATACTCATCACTAATTATTCTTAGGGCGAATTACAAATCTTTTGGAGACTAATAAGCATTGAGGTATCATTAGTAAGGGTCTAGGGAATGTTTATCCAAATGTTTGAAAAAAATAACAAATACCTCATAATTGCCTATAATTAGAAAATCATAAGTCAAAAACATATCATCACCTCTCATTTCTAAACTTTGATCAACAACATATGATAAAGTATAAAAACATAGTGAAGGAAGAAGCAGCAAAACGACGAATTGGATATAGAGAGGAAGCACAATAGAAGGAAGAAGTTGCTCTAAAATGTGTCTTCTCTAACTCTAACCTAGCTGCCAATTTTTTTTTTTTGGTTTTGAGTTTTGATGGGAAAGTGAGTAAAAAGTGATGTTTTTGTTTCAATCTAATTGATCATTGTTTCCTTTGCACATATTTGATTTTTGAGAAATTTGAGATCTGTAGCTACCCATTTTGTATTTGTCCCTCTGCAACATCAAGTTTGGATTTTCCCTCCACCACGAAACTTATGGAGTCGATTAATTTGTTTAGTGTCTCTAATTATTTGTTCCCTTCACAGGATGCAGTAGCACATACAATTGGGCACGTCGCTGCAACAGTGAGTATGTCTAAGGTTGCAGTTTCATTCACTCACACCATCAAGAGTGGCGAGCCAACATTCAGTGTCTTAGTCTCCATATTTATCTTGGAAGTCTTTCCCTGCCGGAGTCTACTTGTCCCTCCTGCCAATTATTGGTGGTTGTGCTCTTGCTGCTGTGACTGAGCTCAACTTTAACATGACTGGTAATTTTTTATTCATTGTGTGCATTTTCATTTTGATTCATCTATATAACCCAACTCGACTTCAACATGTTAGGTGGAATCTAAGCATAAATGAGTTCTCATTTAATCCAAGCACAAATGCAATTTAATTTTGATTGTTTTCTTCTGTAATTTTGTTTTCTGGCCTTCTGACAAGCCATGTGACATTTATTTGGTCTTAGTCCTCTACTCCTCGGATATATCTTATTGATGATATATCTACAATTCCAAACCAAAACCAAACAAAGTCGAGTCTAAATGTTAAGTGTAATCTAAGATCATTCAACACTTAGCAGGAGGTCGGAATTGTTACGAGTGACTTATGAGTATCATGTGACGTGAGGAAAATGTTTTTTACTTGCCTACCTAATCTTAGAGGTGGGAGGTGGGATGTTTCTTTCTTGGTCAGTTATTATCATCATTCAAAATAAAGGTTGGTAGATGAGGAAAGTGGCTTTTAATATGGATCATGGGTCACAATCAAAGTAATAATGGATGGATGCCCACCTAAACTTTATTCTAAGAATAGCTCTCTTCTTCTCTTTATGTTTATCCAAAGTCAAAACGTTGACTTGGTATATGGAAAAATCCAAGCATGGGAATTGCTCTATATTTACTGAAAGCCTGAAACCAACCTTTTTTAAGCTTTGATGTATGGGCTTATTAGAAGTGTTTTTTTTTTTTTGGGATGCAGGCTAAGTAGTGATCCATAAGTGGGGAAGAATAAGAAAGGAAGAGATGTCTAAAAACAATTATTGTTGATTAGTAGGATTTGGATAAGCAAAGGTAAAATGTGCATGATGAAGTCAATGAAGAAAAGAAACTGTTTTGTCGAAGAGGATGGTCAGTGAAATGCCGACAATAGAGATAATCAAGGACTAGTTATTCTAGTAGATTTTTCTTGTTTTCGACCTTTTTTAGATAAATAAGATGAAATAGCTAAGAGGGATAGAAACGGAAAAATTGTAGGAATGATAATAATATTAATAATAATACTAATAATGTTGTGTCCCATTAACAACGCTAACAACAGCTGGAAGCTGTCGGGAGAGCGTGAGTACTCTTTTAGTCTTCTTTTGCATTGCGTTTGAGTTGAGCGAGTTTGTATTCTCATTTTGCATACTTTTTCAACGGAATAAAATAGAGTGAGAAAATGAAACCCTCCATACAGAGTTTCTTCTGTGATTTTTTGCACCATTTGTGACTTAAGTTTGATTTTGTTTCATAGTTGATTATATTGCAACTAAATCATGTGAGTTTCATTTTTTTTTGCATTGTTATTTTGCCGTGTCTCAAAACTTGGAGCAGCAGGAGCATTCACATTGCATTGAAAACCAATTACATACGTTGTTCATGTTGCCACTAAGTCATTTATACAATTCAACACATGTTAATATCATTGTATAATATCAATACACGTTAATATCATTGTATATGCAACAATGCAATTCACATGCAATAACATATGTAGAGGGTTTAAGTTATTTTATAATAAAATAAATAAATGATTGATTTATCCTATGTGACATGCATAATTAATTTCAACAAATGCAAACTTGCATATTTTGCACGTGTCCATTACATTGGTGCAACTCATTTTGAAGTTGCATATTGAGTGTTAAGAGGATTTGCAATTGATCAAATACTATTTATGTAAATCCTCTAAATGAGGCCAGTTTTGCTGGTTAAAAAGATACTTGTTACTCTTAATGCAGTCAAAAGTAAAATTCTATATAGAGAATTGAAATCGATTCTAAAATGAGATCGTAAGATTTTGATATACATGTAGAAACTAACACTTAGAATGGTTAATAATACCCAAAAAATAAAAGAATTCAAGGAAAAGTTATCCAAAAAAGCATATCATCAATAATACATAACATCAAATAGTGTTAACTTTTCAACTCAAACTTTAATCGACACAAGTATCGAACAAATTCGAATTTTTACGTAACATAAACGCAAAAATAAGCAACCTAATATCTTATCATAATCACTTGTTCTAGTTGAGCAAGAGCTCCAAACCTCCAATGTTCGTCATTTAGTCCAGTTACAATTGCCTCTACGTTCTTCCAAGTTATGTATTGTAGGCAATACCTTGCTGTCCTGATCATGAGTAATTCATTTTGAAATGTCTGAACCCAGATATGCATTGGAATGTTACTCTGCCACTGGATTTTCGCTCTAAAATTCCACTTTTGCTGCACATCTTTAAGCAGTGAGTAATTTATTTTGAAATGAATTTTTTTTGTTTGGTATTTAAAAGAATTCATTTTCAATTCTAAACTTTGAATTCTACGAAATTGTAACTAGTTATAACAATTCCAATGAATTGAGATGGAATTTCCAAATAAATTTCACATTTATTAACTAATTATAATAAGATGACATAATTATCTTCATTTATTAACTAAATTACTTCTACATATGGGGCCAACTCATGCAATATGAGGAACGTTGACAAGAATTTGATTGCAATGCTAGTAGCATATGTTGGTTATTTGATATTTCTGCTTCAATTGTATCCGTATGTTGAGATGGCACGACTAAAGTGTAGGGTTCATTGACAAAAATATTAGAAGATGAATTTTAATGAATATTGTTTCTGCCTGACAGAATTGAATATATGACATACCAAATCCAGGAATTCATTTGAAAATGAACTCTAAACGGTAATTCATTTCAAGATGAAATGCGCCGGTACCTAACTCATTCGTTTTTTCGTCTGCTCAATTGCTGATCCGCAAACTGTGGCAGGCGACTTCAACCATGGTTTGGGAGGAGCGATCCTGGGGGGATGTACTTAGCTATTCAATTCCACTTTATATTTTTTGCTTCTCGTTGCTTCATTATGGCTGCCTCTTTTGTGACACAAAAGACTCTCTCACCGATAATTCGACTACTAATCAACTACCGCGCTTATCTTATTTCTCCTCTATGACTGATTTTATTAACCCTATCTATGCAAACGACCAATTCTCCTAACACTAACCGTTTTAATAACCGCAATCCACGCAAGCATCGACCCAAGCTCACTGAAATTGCTTTTGCGGTCGAACCGCAAAATCGTAACCGTTTTCCCACGTCGGCCATTCTCTCCCAATTAGCTTTTCTGCGTTTAGGGTTTAAGGTCGACAAAAATTGGTCTCACACCCAGTTTGATCATGGCGTCGGAGGGCAAACTGAAGAAACAGAAGACTGCGGATACTCATGCTGACAGATTGAGTGCTTTGGGCGATGATTTGCTGCTTCATATACTCAGCCTCTTCGAACTTAAAGGCGCCGTGGGTACGAGCGCACTGTCAAGACGATGGAGGTACCTTTGGACTCGTCTCACTCGTCTCGATCTGGACGACAGCAGCTTCGTACATCCCGCCGACGATCGGGAAATCGCAGAAATCCGCAAGGCAGAGTTCGCAAACCTCGTGGTGCTGAGCGTGTTGAGACAATGTGAAGACCACCGGCCGTTTCTGAAGAACTTCCGGCTCAGCTGCAATGCGCCCGAGGATCCTTTCTTGTCGAAATCGTGGATGGAGGCGGCCGCCGGTCCTCAAATCGAGACGTTTGAAGTCGATTTCGGCTGCTGCACGGAGAGTCTCTACGATCTCAGCGACAGGGTTTTTGCTTTAGAGAAGCTTCGAGTTTTGAAGCTCCGCAAGGGTTTCCGGCTTGGTGTTGATGATGCTGCACACATTTGGCTCCCATGTCTCAAGGTATTAGAACTTCGTGAAATCTCAGGGTCTAGTTCTACGTTGCGCAGTCTCATTTCTGGTTCTCCTGTTCTGGAGACACTAGGCATTGAACGCTTTAGAACATTGGATGATGCAACAACCGTTTACATAGAATCTTCGTCGCTGAAGAATGTGAAGCTGAGGGGGTTGTTCATGTTCGGTAATGTCTTGCCGAGAATCGTTGTTAATGCACCAAGCCTTGTGCATATGGATTTTCATCCTTGGCACAATCCGGGTGCTGAATATGTCGTCCATGAGTTACCTTGCCTCGAATCTGGTTACATTGACCATTGTGGTCGACTTGGAATGCTTTCCCCGCTCATTTTGCTCTTGAATCGGATTTCAAATGCTAGAAAACTGCAGCTGACTGACTCAACATTCCAGGTATATCTCCTCTGACTTTCACTTCCTTAATGTTATAGCGACTACTTACTTCAAATGACTTGAGCAGTTGTAATGTTTTTGCCCCCTTTCATATCCTTTCGATGCAGTCGGTTAAATCGTGTTACCACTATGAGCTACCACTGCCCTGGTTACATAACTTGACTCATTTGACATTGGAAGTTACCGTGATTGATTGGATCACCGTGTGTAGCTTACTAGATCGCGCACCGAATTTAGTAACTCTAGTCTTCGAGAAGGTTAGTTCTATCTGATATTTTCTCTGCCTTGGTTCGACTTCTCCAACTTTGGTAAATCCTGAACTTTCATTTTTCTTACACCAGTGTCCAAGCCCTGAGCCGCTGGAAGTTCTATGGGACCCATTGGAACCAGACCCTGAATGCATTCGTTCACGAATTGAGGTCATAGAAATCAAGGGTTTAGGAGTGTCTTGTTCAATCCAGAGAGACTTGTTAATACACCTGCTGGACGTTGCATCTTGCTTAAAGATGATGATTCTTCACTGTGCCATTGACCAAGACGCCATTGGAAGGTTCTTACATTCGTCCAATGAATCAGTTCCTACTCGCAGAGAACATGTGATGCTTACGAATCTGGAAGAGTTATTAGCTTGTCCGAGATCATCAAGGACTTGTGAAGTTGAACTTTTAAGTTATGCAGACGATATCTTATGACTGAACTCCGATATGCATGGGTCGTTTTGGCCGTCAGTGTTGTAGCGGGCGATAAGGACATGACTCAGTAACTGACCTTTGCATGTGTACTGTATGGTGTATTTTGGCTCAGTTGAAGTGTATATGTATATGATCAGGACAGGGCTTAGTAACTGACTTTTGTATGTGTACTGTATGGTGTATTTTGACGCAGATGAAGGTATATGTATTGTATGTTATTCGGTGCTGGTGATCTTCATTGGACTTGTCCCTTTGCCTCTAGGTTTTTGTTTCTGCAATTGCACTTCTGCAACTTCTTTACAGCAATGTTGATGCAAGGAGCTTTTTTTCCCCTAAGATGCATGCAATGTTGATTCTTCAACGAAGCTTCTAAGATTAGTGATTCAAAAACGGAAAAGGAAACGATTGCAACCAGCAAAAATGTTCTAAACCATTTATAACATGACCCAAAAAGCCTCACTTACGGGTATCTGAGCAATTTTTCCCGTTACTTTTATAGAGCTTCTCTCTTGTATGTTAACCCGTCACCCATTAATACAACACCAACTTTATTTGATTCCAGATTCAGAGCAATACATATTAGTTGTTATTAGTTGGACTGAGGCCCTGACTGAATAAGACTAAAATTAACAAGATGACTTTATGGTATCCAAAAGAGTTTGCCAGACATATATTGAACGACTGGAAAATTACTTTGATGAAATATTTGAATGACAATTTTAACTATGCTTTGTAGAAGTGGCAATTTTTAATACAATTCATCTATTTAAATATCAAACTAATCCGTTACATTTAAATTCAATCAATTTAATCTAAATTCAATTGAATTGATAAATTTATGGATCGACTTCATTAATTGTTGATAAATACGATCGATCATTTTATCCAATCCACGGTGACTATCAGTCTATCACCATAGAAATTACCCAAAATTTAACTATTAATCGTAAATAACCCTTTCAATTTTCATTCATTCATGCTGACTGTACATATGGGCATTGGGCTGACTGCCTTTCGACTTCAAGCCCATTGTTGAATATCCTGGGGCTGGTTATAAAAAAAAAACTCCTATTTTCCCCCCTTACTGGCTTCTGCGTTTAGGGTTTAGTGTCAAGAATTGTTCTCACCCAGTCACCCAGAGTGATCATGGCGTCGGAGGACAAATTGAAGAACACCGCGGATACTCACGTTGACAGACTGAGTGTTTTGGGCGACGATTTGCTGCTCCACATACTCGGATTCTTGGAACTGAAAGGCGCCGTGGGAACGAGCGCGCTGTCAAGAAGATGGAGGTACCTTTGGACCCGTCTCACCAATCTCCATCTGGACGACTGCAGCTTCGTGCACTCCGACGCCGACTGGACAATGGCGGAAACTATGAACCCAGAGTTCGGAGACCTCGTGGAGAGCGTGTTGAGACAATGCGAAGACCACCTGCCGTTTCTGAAGAAGTTCCGCCTCAGTTGCAACTCGCCCAATGATCTGATGTTCGTGGGATGGTGGATGGAGGCGGTCACCGGTCCTCAGGTCGAGTCATTTGAAGTCGATTTCAGGTGGGGGAACTGTATGTACCATCCCTGCGAAAGGATTTTTGCTATGGAGAAGCTTCGAGTATTGAAGCTCAACGACTGGTACAAAAATGGTCGTTCCTCCGTCTGCGTGCTTTCCTAGGCTCAAGGTTTTGGAACTCTGGAGGGTCCATGTGCTTCTCGAGGATTGTCCCCAGTTCATCGCATGGCTTCGGGCGGTCATTGGGCCTGAAATCGAGAAGCTTTGCCTGAAATTGAAAGTAATGAAAGCAATGGAGCCGGAGGTGATTGATTTGGGTGAAGCCGTTCCGTAGCGCACGTAAGCTTCAGGTGTTGAAGCTCTGCAATGGTATCCAGCTTGGTGTTGATGCACCCATTTGCCTTCCATGTCTCAAGGTATTAGCACTTTATTTTGTATCAGGGTTTGGTTCCACACTGCGCAGCATCATTTCCAGTTCTCCTGTTCTGGAGTCATTAGTCATTGAATGCTTTAAAACATTAGGCGATGCAACAACCCTTTACATAGAATCTCCCTCGCTAAAGAATGTGAAGCTGAGGAGGTTTTCGGTTGAGCGTCATGCCTCGCGGAGAATTGTTCTTAATGCACCAAGTCTTGTGCGTATGAAAGTTCTTCTTTACAATGATATGGTGACTGAATATGACATTCATGAGCTACCTTGCCTTGAATCTGGTTATATTGACTACTGTGGTCGAAGTCAACGGCTTGCCTCCCTTATTATGATCTTGAATCGGATTTCAAATGCTACATCACTGCATCTAACTGACTCAACATTTCAGGTATATTTCCTCTGGCTTCGACTTTCTTATGTTATAGTTGTTGACTACTTACATCAAGTGACTTGAGCAGTTATAATGTGTTCTTTTCCTTTTCATCCTTTCGATGCAGTCGATTATGCTGTGTTACCTCCATCAGCTTCAACTGCCCGTGTTACATAACTTGACTCACCTGACAACGGAAGTGAGTCTGATTGACTGGGAAACCGTGTGTACCTTACTTGCTTGCACACCAAACTTGGTAACTCTGGTCTTTGAGAAGGTTAGTTCCAAGTTCAATAACTAATATCTTCTCTGCCTTAGTTAAACTTCTCCAAGCCTTGGTAAATCATGAACTTCGTTTTTCATACATCAGAGTCCAGGTCCTGAACCGTTGGAAGTTTTACGGGAGAACATATGGAAACCAGTCCCTGAATGCCTTTATTCACGAATTGAAGTCATAGAAATCAAGGGTTTAGGTTCAGGGGTGACTTCAGTCCAGAAAGACTTGTTAATGCACGTTCTAGATGTTGCATCTTGCTTAAAGAAGATGATTCTTCACTGTGCCATTGACCAAGACACCATTGGAGGGCTCTTACATTCGTCCAATGAATCAGTTCCTACCCACGGAGAACATGCGATGCTGGCGAATCTGGAAGAGTTATTAGCTTGGCCGAGGTCATCAAGTAATTGTGAAGTTGAACTTTTAAGTTATGTAGACGATACCTTGTACTGATGATGAGGACATGATTTAGTAACTGAGCTTTGCATGTGTACTGTTTGATGTACTTTGGCTCAGATTGAGTATATGTATATCAGTATATGATCAGGACATGACTTTAGTAACTGACCTCTTTGTCTGTGTTTTCTAAAGTGTATTTTGCCTCGGATGGAGTAAATGTATTGTATGTTTTCGGTGCTGGTGATATTCTTTGGCCTTGTCTCTTATCCTCTAGGTTTTTGTACTGAAATTGCACTTCTGCATCTTCTTTACATCAGTGTTGATGAAAGGAGCTTTTTTTCCTAGATGACTTGTATAAGGAAGTTTCTTACTCTCTTTGATTTCATGATTTGTCACCTGCTTTGAACGTATTTGAACCGTAACGAATCCAACAGACAGAAAATGAATCACGAGAGCCGGAGAACAGCAATTCTCGATCTGTAGAGATAGCCAAAACTTGTTGCTTCAACATAACAACAGGAGAGTCGCAATGGAAAGTTTGGAGACCCACAATTTGATTTCAGGATCGGTTTCAGCAACTTGTAAGAACTAAGGATGGTGGATGTTTACAGCAATCAGTTAACTGGGTGCCCTTCTGAGCAACACATCCCGGCGTTAATGTGAAAGATGCATGCCATCTTGAAGCACATTACATGATTCTTCAATGAAGCTTCTAAGATTAATGCTTCAGACAGGGATAAGGAAACGATTGCAACAAGCACAAATGTTGCTGTTATTAGCTCGACTGAGGTCCTACATAGGCTAATTAACAAAATGACTCTCTGGTACCCAAGAGATTGTCAGAAGAACCTTCACCTTACAACACCAAATCGGAACTCATCTACTAGTACTTAGCTTCTCGTTCCCTTTTGTCAAACAAGAAGCGACATCCGCAGAAGCAGCAGCAGTTCGTTTAAGCTTACCGTTCAGAGTTTCAAGTACTTGATGGCCGTCTGTACATCCTTGTCCCCTCGGCCACTGCAGTTCAGCACGACCTTAGTTCCATCAGGGAGCGTTGGGCACAGCTTCTCAAGGTAAGCGAGAGCATGAGATGTCTCCAGCGCAGGGATTATGCCTTCCAGTCTTGATACTCTCTTGAATGCTGCATGTGTGGAAAGAAGTGGTTAGACAGATTGTTTTCACACTTTGAAGGTGCAAAAAAGAGTTCTTCTGGTTTCTGAAAGGAGAAAAAGAGCAGACCGCTGAACAAGAAGTCCATTAGTCTAGTTGTGTATATGGGAGATTAAGCACATAAGGACCTCGAATATAAACCAGACTAAATGAAATGGTTGGATGCTTGTCTAAGCAGTTGCCTTCCACAGCAAAAATTATGGTTCAAGCTGACTGTTTGATGGATTTCAGCAAGGGTTAAAATCACTAATTCAAGTATTTTTCAAAAACACAATCCCAGGCAAACTACTCTTAATGCTTTAAGGCATATGAATGTTAATCAGATTGTAACTTATCATTGTAGGTCTCAAATACCAGTGAGGTTAACCAAATGGAGAGCATGAATTCTCCAATGAACCATTTAGTCGGGAAAGCGTAGCAAAAGTACAAAGATACAAGGGGCTTGCCAATAGATATGCAAGAGCCAAAGCACAACAAATTTTCAACCATGGCCGACTCAACAGCATACAAATAGAAAGCACAACCTAGGAAGAACTTCCATACCTTCTAGTGCCTCCTCATCAGTGACACAATAGTATTCAGCACGACCTTTGTCTTTCAGAAAACTGTGCTCCGGTCCAACTCCAGGGTAATCCAACCTGATTCCAACAGCGCGTAGCAACTAAGTACAAACGACAAGGAACGATTATCAAACCAAAAGCAACTCACTACGAGTTAGCAAATGCTACCCAGCACTAATGGAGTGAGGCTCAATGATTTGCCCATCATCATCTTGTAACAAATAGCTCATAGCTCCATGCAGCACACCAACTTCCCCTTTAGTCAGAGTTGCAGCGTGCTTCCCGCTATCCAGACCAAAACCAGCAGCCTCCACACCAATCAACCTAACATCTTTGTCCTTGACGAAATCCTCAAACAATCCCATCGCGTTCGAACCCCCACCAACGCACGCCACAAGGACGTCTGGCTTCCCACCCCATTTCTCCATTGCTTGCCTCCTTGTTTCCTCGCCAATCACCTTGTGGAACTCCCTCACCATCATGGGATACGGATGTGGTCCGGCAACAGAACCCAGAATATAATGAGTCGACTCCACGTTGGTCACCCAATCCCTTATAGCTTCCGACGTAGCATCTTTCAGCGTGGCTGTCCCAGAATGCACCCCTCTCACCTCGGCTCCCAGAAGCCGCATCCTGAACACATTGAGTGCTTGCCTTTCCATATCTTGTGCACCCATGTAGATGATACATTCCAACCCAAACCTCGCGCAGACGGTCGCAGTGGCAACCCCGTGCTGCCCAGCTCCGGTTTCTGCAATGATCCGCTTCTTCCCCAACCGCTTCGCGAGCAGCACCTGGCCGATCGCATTGTTGATCTTGTGAGCACCGGTGTGGTTCAGATCCTCCCTCTTGAGGTAAATGTGCGGCCCTTCGCCATTCGGCCTCCTGTAATGATCCGTCAGCCGCTCAGCAAAGTAAAGAGGAGTCTCCCTTCCAACATAGTCTTTCAAAATGCCGCCCAGTTCTGCCTACATTCATTTATCAACAAAGTTGTAATCTTTTAACGAGTGCGAACGAGATACACCGATTTCCCCCCGAAAATGATTGATACTTAAACAGGGGAAATTAGGGATTACCTGAAAATCAGGGTCGTTCCTGATTGAATTGAAGGCGGATTCGAGTTCGGTGAGAGCATACATGAGAGTCTCGGGGACGTACTTCCCCCCAAATTTGCCGAATCGGCCGAAAGCATCGGGCCGACTCCACAGAGCCGGGTCGGAGTCGTCCTTTTCCGTCACGGCGACCGCCGCCGCCGCATCTCTGGTCATAGTGCAGGAGATTGAGAGCCCGGCGGTGGTGCGAGGTCGAGCGGTGGATATGGGGAGCCCGAAGTTGAGCTGTGCGGAAGAGTAGGAGGAGGAGGAGGAGGAGGAAGAAATGGGCGGCGGAGGCGAGAGGGTAGCGGTGGTGCGAGCGGTGGTTGGGGAAGTAGCTGCTGCTGCGGCGGCGGCGATGGCCATTTAGCGGATTTTCTTGGAGTCGAGAGGCGGTGTTGGGGATTTGGCTCTTCTGGGTTCCGTTCCGCCTAGATTTTATGATGATACGGCTGGCTGGCTGGCTGACGTCGTGTGGTAGACTGACTGATGGTCAGGAAACTTCAGAGTGACATGGCGGTTTCTTGGCCTTCAATATTGGTGTACTCTAGGGTTGGCTGGGCTGCACTGCACGCAGAATGCAAAACAGTTTAGTTTGTTCATATGCCTAAAGGCTAAAATCTTATTTCTAATGTTAGTAAACGGTACGTGATCTACTATTGAACCTCTCCCAACAACTCGAGTTATTGGGATCAATTGGTTCTCGACATGGTATCAGAGCCTTCTGTGACCGTGAGGTCTTTTGTTCGATTCCCGGTGACCCCATCTGTTTCTGTTAAGCACATGGTGTTCGGACCTGTGCCTGTCCAAACTCCAAGCCTATATGAATGACTTGAGTTTGAAGGGGGGATGTTAGTAAACGGTATGTGATCTACGATTGAACCTCTCCCAACAACTCGAGTTATTGGGATTAACTGGTTCTTGACATCTAATACGAAGGGGAGGTGTCTTCTGGATCATTCGTCCATCACGAGACATTTTGTTGTAAGTCTTGATATAATGAAGAATATAAATGTCCTCCATGACGAGTAATATGTCATTCAAATATAACGGGTTGATGACATAAATTTCCTATATGCTATGAAAATTTTCATCAACATAATCATTTATTATGTTTCACACTGAACATTCACGTCTATTACGAGAACGTTATATAATTTAGGTTAAACGACTAAATATACAAAAAAAAAAAAATAGCTAAACGTTTTAAACTATGGACAAACAGGTTAATTTTGCTGACGTGACAGAAGCATGGATCCTATGTGTTTTTAAATGTTACCCACACCATCGAATTTAACGGGAAAAAATAAAAAAAAACGGCTATAATTGTCTAACATTTTGAAACGTTTGGCTATTATAATGTATTTTCATATAGTTTTTACTATTTCCATCCAAAACTTGATAATTTTGACTATGCTTTTACATTTACCTAAAATTTACCCTTCTAAGTTCTAACAATTAACCGAATTTTGGACCTATAATTCAGTCCCAAAGACTGAAAGACCAAAGCCCTTTATTTTTCAGGGTTTATGGTGCGGGGTTTTGTGAAGTGTGAACACAGGCCGACCTCTCCCGGGTAACAGCCCGGCCCGCCGGCCCAGCTGATTTTGGCGGTCTTTTGCACCCCAAAACGCCGCGTCTCGAGATCCAGTTCGACGGCCAAATTGAATCGGAAAAAACCCTCTCCGCCTGTTTTTTTTTTCTTTCTTTCACCCGACTAAGGCTCTTCTCCAACGCGGGCTACCGGTGAAACACCGAGAAGCCAGTTGACAGTGGCGGCGACGACGACGACGAACAGCTGCCGATCTCCTCTCTCTCGGTCGCGCGTGCTGGACACAGGCGGCGCTGAAGTTCTTCGGACATCTGAAAGGTCGAGTCGAGTCTTTTGGAAAAGCCTGGGCTGGGTTCAATTTTCTTTCTTCGTTGGGTGAAAAATTAGGACATTGCCAGATTAGGGTTTGCTTGCTTTGAAATTATAAGGGATTCCGCATTCGTCCATCTTCATTCGTCCTTCTTCTGTTCAGTTCTAGTGACTTAGCTGGAAATGGGTCGCCATTCGTCCGATCATTCGATATCCCCAGACAGAGACCGAGGTCGGAGGAGCTCCCCGCCTGCAGAAAGGGCAGCAGCACGACACAGAAGTTCCCGCAGAGATGTTTCGCCTTCACCAGTAGCCCGGCAGAAGAAGAACTCACATCGGGATGCATCTCCATCGCCGAAAGAGAAAAGACGTGTCCATACTAAATCCCCTAATGGTGAAAGGTCTGCTTCTCTTTCCCCACGTTCTAAGAGATTAAGGCGAGCACAAGCGGAGAGAGAGGCTGATAAACTGGGAGATGGTAGAGACCATGGAAGGAATCGTGGCAGGGAAATGGATAGGGGTACCCGTAAGGACAGAGAGGGTTCGGATGTGCCCGAAAGAGAACGTGAAAGAACTCGTGGCAAAGGAGGTGCACATCGGGAAAGGGAAGCTCACAAGGTGATTGACACGGAAAATGACAAAGACCATGGGACTGGAGGTGATAAGGCTGCCTATAAAGGCAGAGGTACAGAAGATAGGGAAAATCGGGGCGAGAGGAAGGAGAGGAAGCACGGTCGAGATGAGATGGACCGAAAATCGTCTAGAGATAGACATGAGCGTTCACTTTCTCCATCTGATCGGCACCACAAGAGAAGATATGGATCTCAGTCACCTCAAAGAGCTGCTCAGAAGAGAGAACGGGACGAGGTGTCTGGTGATATCTATTTCTAGTGGCTATTTCTTTCTCATTAGTTTTGTTCCTTTGCCTAAAATGTTGTCTTCTATTGTGTTTGACATTCAATGCAAGTGAATTTTCTTTATCTCTGCATTTTCTGAATGTTTATCAAAGCAAATAACAGAGAATACTTAATCGTGCCTAGATGACCGGTTCCATGAATCTGTTGTGAATTTCTACTGCCTTCTTTAGTCAGTGCAGCTCTTGCTTTTGTCAGTCCTAAACTTAAGTTGCTGCATTTTGGTTTAAATGTTAACTCATATGGAACTGTTTATTTCAGGTCATTAACTATGGAGGAGCGGACGGAAGGTAAGATCCTTGTCACAGTCTATTTTTTCATCTATTCCTTTGTTGAGACAATGTTTGATTAATTGCTCTTTGTTTCTTCTGTATAACACTTACAGTGTATGGTGATTACATCTTTAATTCCATCAATTTAGTGAGTACTATGAATATAGGTGTCGTTAACTCAAGGAAATAGAACTCTCGGAGAACCCAGCTGGAAGAATCTTCACCATATTATGAAAGCAATTAGATTGTACCACTGACTAGGGTCTAGGGTTACACTTGGTTGCTTGTTATGCAATACTTTCTCTTTAGAAGTGCAGAGCATATGAAAAGCTTATGTCACCCACCTGTACTAGTGAATTCGATCCTTCCCATTTCTCCATCACAGTGAAAGTATAGCATGATGATTAGGGGCTTTGATTGACCTTCCCTCATCACAACAATATAATATGCTCATCATGGTGTTGTTTATATTCGTTGCTTGCATAGGAATAGCGAGGATGATTCTGTAGCTAAGATGAAGGCGGCTGAAGAGGCCTTGGAAGCGAGCCAGAAAGTAAGGCAGTTACTAATTTCTGGAATATAGTCTTGTGTCTGTTCATTTGGCAGAAGAGTGCCTTTTGTCCTACTTCCCTATATCTAATTTTTGTTGATGTATGACATTGGCTTGCAGCAAAAACCATCATTTGAGCTGTCTGGGAAACTCGCTGCAGAAACTAATAGGGTTCGAGGTTTGTGATTTTGCATTTTCCCTACAGTTTCCTGTTTTATTAGTTCTGTCTGATATCTGACAGACCCGGCTGCTTATGGCTGCTTGGAGTAGTATGGTTTTTTATGCTTGTTTCATTGTCTTTCATGTTTTGGTATATATGGAGAACTGGAATATGCTGTGGGTATGCAACTGATGTAAATTATTATGTGATGGAACACTTTCCAGGTGTAATAGGTGTTGGAACCCTTCTTTCAATTAATTATATTAACTGTAGCTTGACAATGTTCAGACATTCATATCTTTTATTTTTTATTTTCCCTATACTCGTGTGACATGTTTGGTATGACTTATTTTCCTTATGCTCCGTTTGTCTGCTTCATGTGCTGGCATATAACTTTAGGTTCTGATGCTCTGTTGCTTCGTATGGATTATAAGTGATGCTAGCAACGACTTCTGATGATGTAAAACTGGTTAAATTTGCTTTGCGCGAGTCGTCAAACACTCACAATTACTGCCTGTGTGCTTCCTGTTTTATGCCTCTCACTTTTGCTGGTCTGCTATTTTTTGGGGGCAGGTGTCACTCTACTGTTCAATGAGCCTCCAGAGGCTCGAAAACCCAATATAAGATGGAGGCTTTATGTTTTTAAGGGTGGCGAAGCGCTGAATGGTGAGTCCTGGTTTCTCAACTCTTTTTTGCCATGCGTGATACAGCATCAATTATTTTTTAGAATGAACAAAACATTGTTTTATTGATTACTGATTGTAAATATTTTAGTCTTGTGCTATGTATGTACTTGCTGCTTTTGTTAGTTGCACTTGCACACAAGGTATTAGTTCGCGATTGCCACACATCATGTTGGTTAGATACTTGGGTCAGACAGCGAAGAATCTTAATTTCTTATATCGATTACTAAGTGTAGGAATTGGAACACTGTTTGGCTCTCGAATTCTGTGACACTTGCATCCATTTTGTGCGGATAATGATGGTAACTTTATTTTCTGTTTCTGTTGTGTCTCAATGTACAGAACCTCTCTATATACACAGGCAAAGTTGTTATCTTTTTGGTAGAGAGAGGAGGGTGGCAGATGTCCCTACGGACCACCCATCCTGCAGCAAGCAACATGCTGTTATTCAATTCCGGTAGATCTTTTGGTTGTTCAAAAGTTAAGAATTTTTTTTATTTTGTTAGACGTGTTTCTGATTTTGTTTTGTTGACTTGTTAGGCAAGTAGAAAAGGAACAATCTGATGGTACTTTATCTAAGAAAGTAAGGTAAGAATCAACTGTTTTTTTTTTCTTTTGCATATCTTTCTGTAATAAAGTCCAGGTTAGTTTTATCTATGTATGCTGACTTCTTTGTTCTCTGTATGCGTGATAGCCCTTACCTGATGGATCTTGGAAGCACTAACAAGACTTTCATCAATGTAAGGCATATATATTAAATCAGCATATATTCAGCATCAGTTCTGTGGTTAAATTCTTGTAATCACATTTGAGCTGTTTTCCTGTGCTTGCAGGATAAACCCATTGAGCCCGAGCGTTACTACGAACTTTTCGAAAAAGACACAATCAAGTTTGGTAATAGTAGGTAGGCAAACTGATCATTCTCAACTTATGTTTTCTGATAGATGGGGTGTGAAAATTTTCTCATCGTTAATTAGTGACTGAACATCCAAGATAAAGTAGCTTCCATTGCGCTTGGATTGATTTGGCTTACTTTTTAGCAAGTTCTGTTGTGCTTATTGAAAGATATTGAATAGTCTGGGAATTTTTCTCAAAGCTCTCCTACTGTGTGCTCCCAAAACATCATATAGCAACATTTTCCATTGGACGAGAAGTCCGATTGAGATGCTTGGTTTTTCAATGTTCTCAACCCAGTGTTTGGTCTTTGTAGCTTATGACTAGGAAATAGGAATGCTCCCTTTGTACTATGGGCACTTCAAGGTTATCTTGGTGTTGGCGTTTCCATCTGGAGCTTGTGACTGCATGTTTATAGATATTTGAGTGGGCTTAGCTGTGTCGACAAGTTGTTTTTAAGGCGTGAATAACATGTTTAGAGCTATGGCGCATGAAAAGTGGAAAGCTGTAGCTGATTTTGTTCAGAAATATATTTTTTCTTTGATCCTGCTGCCCCTAAATGATTTGCTATTGCCTGGTTCTCTGCAGCCGAGAATACGTGTTATTGCACGAGAACTCATCAGAGGTATCACCAAGTCCTTGAGGACCTATCTTTTTTATTATCAGCAAGCAACGAGGTGTATTTTGCGGATTGTTCTTCTGGCAATCGAGGAGGAACTACTCTTAAAATTGTAAATCCTTTGAGGACGTTGAGATCTGGTGTCGGATGTTCACGATCTTGCAAGAATCTACAAGCATTGTAATAGATTTCAGTACCATGCTTGCAAGTAGATATTTAGAACTTAGAAGTGGTTTGGTGCAATTCTAGATACTCTTTTTGCGGGAAAGCCTCATATTTGGTATTTGCAGATCAAGTCTTCTAGGACAGTGGCGTGAGTGAATTGTGGAACGAGGATTCGAGCTCGTTTTGTTACAAGTGGAACTGATTAGTGCAAAATTTGGTTGATAAGTTTGAGGGTAAATGACACATTTGATCACTGAGATTACTAAATCGTGTCATATTTAGTCACTAGAAAAATTTAATATCAATTTTGGTCACTCGAATTACTGACACAGGTCACATTTGGTCACTCTTCTGTAGCCTCTGTCCAACTCCGGTCACTCGAATTATTGAAAAATGTCACATTTAGTCACTCGTATTACTGAAACATGTCACATTTAGTCACTTTCCCAAAAGTTTCCGTCCAACTACATTAATGGAGTTGGACGGAAACTGACGGGAGAGTGACTAAATTTGACCAGTTTCGGTAATTCGAGTGACCAAAATTGATATTAATTTTTTCTAGTGACTAAACATGACACAATTTAATAATCTCAGTGACCAAATGTGTCATTTACCCATAAGTTTGATCTATATTTTGGCCTTGCAGACGAGGAAACCGTTGACGGTTTATGTTGATGTTATTTGTTAGAACTCGGATGATGCAAATCCTTTAGAGAAACGGAATTACTCGACCTCGACTCTAGTCGCTTTACCCTTCATCAAGAATCTTGCATATCTATGCTTTGTTCCAAATTATGTCCTATACTATTAGGGTCCATTGCCATTTTCGTCGATAGTTAGAGATAACTAGAGATAGCAATTTGAACCAAAGCCATATGTTCAATTCAATTCATTAGCTAAAAGGTTAAATTAATTCAATTCATTTAATTATTGAATAATTAATAATCAAGTAGTTAATTATTGAATTTCACTACAGAGCAAATAAAGAACGAAGAACTATGTGAAAAAAATGAATAGATTAATATTTATCGATATGTTAAAAATTATTAATAAGTTGATCCAGATAACTCGTCCGATTACTAAGGAATTGGCTGGAATTCATTTGTAGGATAAGAGAAAGGGTAAGTAATGTCTTACAGCGGAGAAACCTTCCACCCGGATTATCTTCGGTCCATGATGTTAGCAGGAAAACACTCGTGACACTTGCAAGTGAACTCATAAGGAATCAGAGCTTTTTCTTAGGATGATTTTGGATTGGGAAATATGGTTTGAGTTTTGTTCCATCGTTAGGTTTACAGAGAGGGGAAACAGAAGAAATGAGGGACAAATTTGAGAGTAAAAGGTGTGAGGTAAGGTTTGTATTCTATAGTTTTCGGGTGGCTTGAGTGTCCTTTCGTTGGGTTTGATTGGTTTGGTTCGTTCATTTTTTATTAATTTTTTGTGATGTGGCGTGCTGATTAGATTTAATTAACGGATTTTCGAATGGAGATGGACGGAATGTATGTTTTGTTCATCCAAACGTGCTTTTATGAAAACGTAGAAAATTAAATTTTAGTAATCATTTTGTACTAAGTACATAATTTGTGACGGTTTCTGATAATTACCCTACCATTACCAAACATATAAAAGTATTAAACCAAACGCACTATAGGGCATGGGGAAAAATGATAAATTAAGGAAATAAAAAGTTACAAGTGGGGTGTGCAAGGGTGAGGCTCGTGCCGGATAAAGCAATATTTGAATCAGATTGTATCGAATCGAGTATAATACGATCCGATTTTTGGTCCTATAAATTTTATAATTATCGAAGAAAATATTTGATCAAATTAATTTTTGAACCGTATCTCATGCCGAATGAACCGAATACAACGATGATCCGGTCCTTAATTTTAAGTAGGGTTGCAAATGAGCCAAGCCGCTCGCGACAACTCGGCGATCGAATCGGAAAAAAATCGTTCGACACTCGACTCGTTGTTTAACAAGCCAGCTCGCGAGCCGGCTTGTTAGTAAATTAGCCAAACTTGAGCTAGGCCATGCTCGGCTTGATAAGCTCGTGAGCTAGCTTGACTCGGTGGCTTGTTGAGCTAAGCTCGCGAGCTGGCTTGTTTAAAGCTTGTGGAAGGATTAATTACTCTTTTGAACATGAAAATTATCTTGTTAATAAGGATGTGTATGGAAGTTAGATGTTATTTTTAGTTTATAGTGTTCTTTTTATCATTTTTAATTTCTAATGTTCTTATTTGTACACATTTTTCAGCAGGAATGGTTTCAAATCGAGCTTATCTTGAGCCGAGCTTGTACTCAGCTTGACAAGCTGTGTTAATGAGCATTTACAGAGCTTTATCGAGCCGAGCTCGAGCTTGATTGCTTTTAATCGAGTCGAGCTCGAGCTGGATGATCAAAATTCGAGTTGGAGCCGAGCTCGAGCTAAAATATTTATAAACGAGCCGAACTCAAGCTAAGCAAAAACTCGACTCGACTCGGCTTGTTTGCAGCCCTAATTTTAAGATGTCATTCACTAATGACCGTTGTTCTCATGAGTTGGGTCTGATTTGGACCGGACCGAACCGTTACACGGCTGGACGGCTTTGTCCCACAGGCTAAAAGCGAGCGAAGTTGTACCGGTCAACTGCCCCTTAAGTCCGAAACGCCAACTCCGCCCATTTCTTTTGTTTTCTTTCTTCTTCTTCTTCCCCGGCCTTCCAACGTTTTTTGTTTGCTATAGTTTACAATTACAATACTCACTCACACACGCACCAAAAAGATTTCTGGAAATCTGTTCGTGAATGGTTAATACCCCAAGGCCAAAGAAAGAAAGAAGACTACAAAACCCAAGAAAGAAGCAACGACTGCAACAACAACAAGCTATGAAAAGCTCGCCGCTGCAGTCTAGCGACTGCTGCTTCCATGGCCGCCAGCAAGAAACATCGTAAGCGCAGATGGGTGTAATCATCCGGAAAATCGCCCGGGTTGGCTTCAAGTGGAGCGTCCTCGACCGCGTCTCTGTTTTCCGCCAGTTCTTCGAGTTCTTATGGGACAGGATTCTCTCCTGTTCGATTGGTAAGCCGCCCGCCAAGTACCGCCGTCTGACTCGCCCCGGCGCTGCAACTTCGTTTTCTACTTCTTCTGCTTCTTCCTCTTCCGCTTCTTGCGGTGGCTCCAACGACGATTACGGTGCTGTGACTTTCGTTGAGGCGTGCACGACGAGTGGAAGCGGCGAGTTGGAATCTTCCAACTCGGATTTGGTGCCGCTGAAGATCAGCTTGTTGGGTGATTGCCAAATCGGGAAAACGAGCTTCGTGGTAAGCATTTCTCGGTATAATAAAATAGGGTGAGTTGGGTCGTTTCTGGGGTTTCTTGATTGTTTCTGAATTGGTCATGCATGAGCTGGAAAGGTTTCATTGTGATTAATCAGGGTTAGAGGATTAGAGCTGCTTATTAATGGGTATGTGATCTGATTTCTTTAATCTTCCTGCTGTTTATTAATTTCTTCTTGTGGTGTGGGTCTCTGTACTTGCTGATGGTTGAAGGTCAAGTATGTTGGGGATGAACAAGAGAAGGAGAGCCTGGAAATGGCTGGATTGAATTTGATGCACAAGACATTGTTAGTTCAAGATGCCAGGATTTCATTCAGCATATGGGATGTTGGAGGTACCTGAAATTGTTTTACCTTTTAGAATGGTATCAAGTTTCAGAACGAGTTGAGGGAACTTCTCTGGTTTCTGGTTGGGTGTGCAGGGGATAGCAGGTCGTTTGATCAAGTCCCCATTGCCTGTAAAGATGCAGTTGCAATACTCTTCATGTTTGATCTCACCAGCAGATGCACACTCGACAGGTTACCTGTCTCATCGTCATCAAACCTTCCTTTAATCAGCTGCTTCATATATGTTTTCGTATTGAAATAGTATACTGTTCATCTTAACAGTGTTGCTGGATGGTATTGTGAAGCCAGGAAATGGAACCAGGTAATTGAAGTTGAACAGTTACAACCTCCATTGTCTTGGTGTAAATGTATCATTATTGTTTGTTAGGTGTCCTTCAATTTCTCAACCAAATTCTGTTGATCCGTCCTCCTGTGAGATAGAGATGAATAGTGCTGTTAGTTATAACTTATAAGCCTTTAAAGTAATCATTATTTCTGTACAATATGTACAGTACAACCTTAATGGATATACTGGAAACTCAACCTCCGTTTGGTAAGGCATTAACTAACTTAATGTATATGCTTCTCAACTATAATTAGGAATCTTGGGGAAGAAAGAATTTTCTGCTGGTGGCTTGTTGAAACGAGCTATATAATTAATTAGCCCTTGATGATCAATCGTAATAATTGATGATTGATACATAAAAGCAAAATTTGGCAGCAACCCAGGAAGAAATTTATAGTGATGGCCATGATCATCATACGGCACTGAAAACCTGAATCCAGTGGCTGGAATGATTGTTATTGTGTTACCGTTTGTTTAATCAATTCGGGTGGTTTGGTTTCTGTTGCCCCTTTTTTGTTGGAATGGAGTAGGGTCATCACCCACACATGGGGGAGCACTCTATCATAATCATGACACTCTTAACTTGTTGCATGTGTATTAAGGAAGGCAGGCTTGTGGGTTAATCAAGTTTTTTTCTTCTTGCAGACGGCTATACCAATCCTGATCGGGACCAAGTTTGATGATTTCGTCCGGCTACCTCCAAATGTACAGTGGACTATAGCAACCCAGGTAAAAATACAAGAACAGTAGAGAACTTCTCCCAGTTTTGTCTTTCAACGTGTTTAGGGGAACATTCATGCCTGAGATTGTGACCTGCGTTGTGGGAGATGTGATAGGGAAGTTTGGTAGAATGCTGTAGCATTTTGAGATTCGTTTTCCCTCTTTGCGCGTTTGACAGACAAAGCAGGCAGGAGTGGGGGTCTGGTGGGGCGAGACCTGCAAGTAATAGCTTCATTAAAGTGAGAGAATTTAAGTTTTGAGAACAAGAAAGGAACCTTCTTTAAGGGTGGTAGATCTAATTAAAGGCTTTGGTCATTTCCTTTTCAGAGTAATCTAAAGCTTTCAGTTTAGGAATATGCTTTAGCAAGTTTTTCAAACGTTTTTGCTGCATTTTACTCGTTGAATGAGAATGGGTTTCATTTACTGTGAAGGAATACTTTTTCTCCTTTAGATGATGTGTTTTCCCCCCCAAAGATTCGAGTCAAGGGGAGGGCAAATTACGGGTTCCTTATTGCAGCTTAACTTTGATCTGTAATCTTGTTGGTTCTCCTGTAAACTTGTTGATCAAACTATGTTTGTGGTTGCATCATGATGAATACAACGCAGGCAAGGGCATACGCAAGAGCGATGAAGGCGACGCTGTTCTTCTCAAGTGCGCAGCACAACATAAATGTGAACAAGATCTTCAAGTTCATCGCAGCAAAGGTGTTTAACTTGCCATGGACGCTGGACAGGAACCTCACCATTGGGGAGCCCATTATTGACTTCTAATCTCTTTTTCCTGTAATGGCCGTTTACTTCTTGTTCTTTTAACTGTTCTTTCATGCATTGATGGGTTTTGTATTCTGCTGTAAATAGTAGAGGAAAGTGAAGAAGAGGGAAAGTAGAAAGGAAAATTGGAGAATGAGTGGGAGTGGGAGTGGGAGTGGGAGTGGGAGTGCAGATTGATTGATTTTTTCCCAAGAACGATTGTTGCTTTCATTTCTTCCTTGCCCCCTTTTGTTCCACCCTTCTGCTAACTTTACGACTTATAAGAAGAGATAATCACAGTGAGCTTTGTGTAAACTGAGAGGAAAAAAAGACTCCAATCTTGAAATTTCCCCTGATTCAAGTGACTATTTAAGGTAGGGGTGTTTAAACGGTGTGGTTACCACGGTTGGTTTGGTTAAACAATTTTGGCTTATTTGGTTTGGTTTCAACACTGCTAACCAGTGAAACCAATTAACCAGTTAATGATACACCTAATATACATAATTATTTATACTTCCATGCAACCAACAATACCAGACTTTCGTGATTCCCTATTTTATTTCCATTTGCACAACAAACCAAAACATTATGAGTCAAAAATTAAATGGACCCGCCTATTTACTTAACTAAAACAATATGATAATCTCCACTTCCTACACATCAAGTGAGCCTCTCTATACACCAAACAAAACCAAACCTTTGGTTGTCCTCTGTCCTCAATCTCCATTTCCAATTCCCCCTCCCTAGAACATTGAACCCTAGATTGAGAGGGAGAGACAATCGAACTGACAACTTATGTCTTCATTTGAATAACTCTTCTTCAAGTAATGTTATGTTATTTGGTTTATTCATTAACAGGATAATTGTTTTTCATGTAATGTTATGTTATTTGATTAATTTGGTTTTCGTGTTAATTTGGATGGTTTGGTCAAGACATTTTATTGCATGATTAATGAAATTTAGGTTTAATTGGTTTGGTAATTACCACGATAACCATTTGAACACCCCTAATCTATGATACTAGACCACAAGGAAGTGACAAGTTCTTTTTAGGGTTGATCACTAAGTAAGATAAGAAGTTGACTGCACTACTAGATGTTTGATCGTTTGAGTCGAGTAGAGAAGACAGAAAATAGGGCTTAAGATCAACGCATAATAATGTCTTAGTTAGAGCTAGCTTGTGATGTTGCTTGATGGGTAAGGCACTAGATCAACCACCACAATCAAGTATTTGAACACGATCACCAACTTTCGAATGATTCAAATAGCTCGTGAAGATTGACATGGAGATTCACATATGAATACGAAATGTCTCGTTATGGCCTCAACCTAATCATTCGAGTTGAGTTTCAACCCAAAAAAAATTACAATCAGGTGAACGACGTGAAGATGCAGGATTAGATGGAGGATTTGGTTGAGGAGGGTGCGGAGATAATGTCGGGAGTGATTCCCAGGATGGATACTCGGCGTAGACACCTCCTTCTCGAGGACTCTGATGGTGAGGTTATTATTCCTACTGTTCCCGTCCCGTGTGAAAAGGCGGAACCTGCTGGGAAGAGGAAGGGGAGACGGCTGGTAAAAGTGGAAGCAAGCAAGCCTTCTCGATCGACCTCGTCCCCAGCGAAGGTAAAGGCGGCCTCCAAGAGCCGGGTGGGTGCTGCGCCTACTAGAAAGAAGGCGTCCCAGAAAAAGAAAGGGACGGTGAAAGTTTCCCTTAAGAGTGCCGACCCAGCAATGGTTGGTGAAGCTGATCTCCAGAATGGCCCTCGGCTTTCAAAGCTTAAGGGGAAGGCGGCTGTTTTGGAACCCGCCGAGGTATTGGAGGGGGGGGGGGGATTGTGAGCCCCAGATTGGAGCAAAGCCCAACCAAACTAATGGGAAGGCGCCTTTGGAGATAGCTGCCGATGAACAGGTGGAGTCCGAGACCTCTCTCTCTGAGGATGAAGGTCAACGATATGAAATTAAGAAGCGCTTGGCCCTCGATACTCCGGATCAGCAGGCTCAAGCGGGTCAAGTGAAACAAGTGGTGGCTGCATTTGAGGCCAACTTGGCGATCAATGAAGATAAGGATCCCTTGGTCTCTGGTGAAGGGGAAATGATTAGGAAGCTGAACGAATATGGATCCAATATGGTGGATGAGAACAGGAAGCGTGCTCTGGATGAGGTGGATGGGGAGATTGGGGAGTCACCCACTCCCAAAAAACAATTTGTGGATGAAGAATCGGGAAATGCTTTGGTGGAGGAAGCCAGCCATGAGTGGCCCCAAGCAGATAAATGAGGATTTTGGGTTGGAATGTGAGAGGAATTGGATCATCCCTCACATTCCAGACAGCAGTAGGGTTAATTCGGTCGAATAAACCGGACCTTGTCTTCTTCTCAGAAACAAGATCGTGCCGGAGAGTCGTTTCCCGTAGAATGCGGGGGTTAGGGTTTGAGTCAAGTCATTGTTTCTTTGTTGATGCTGTTGATGGTTCTGGTGGTCTTGTAGTGGGTGGGTCCCCTGAAGTTGAGGCTTCAGTGTTTTTTCATTCTAATTTTTGCATTTGTACTCGTACTAATGAGAACGGATTTTCTTATGTTGCTGTCTGCGTATATTTGAGCTGCAATATTGCGAGACGAGCCCAACAATTGAACCAGTTGCGCGAGATTTGTGAGGGCCTTACTGTTCCCTTTGTGATTCTAGGAGACTTTAACGCTACCCTTTGCGAAAATGAAAAGGATTGAGGAAATCCTTGGAATGCTAGTCAATCCTTGGATCTTCGAAACCTTATTCAAATGGTAGGGTTGCATGATCCTGGGTTTCAGGGGGACCCTTACACTTGGACTAATAAACGTATGGGTTGGCCTCTATTCGTGCAAGACTTGACAGAGCCCTCTGCTCGCAAAGTTGGATAGATCGGTATCCAGAGACTCTTGTCAAGCACTTCACGGACCAGGGTTCTGATCATAGAGCCCTGCTTCTCTCTGATAAACCCTATACGCGAAGTTGCCGCCCTCTTTTTCGATTCGATGCGCGGTGGGCCTCTAATCCTGAAGTCAAGGCTATGGTCGCTTACGTTTGGCAAGAAAATATTTCTGGTACCCCAATGTTCCAGCTATGGGAAAAGCTGAAAAAATTGCGTCATTTGCTGTATGATTGGAGCAGAGCGGGAACCACTAATTCTCTGAGAAATATTCACACATTGCAAGGCGAAATTGATCGGCTAAAAGCCTTCCACCCTATTGACTGGGAAGAGGTGACCAGGTTGGAGACTGAACTGAGTAGACAATGGGATGCTGAGGAAGTGTACTGGCAGCAAAAATCCCGTGTTACTTGGCTAAAAAAGGGAGATAAAAATTCAGCCTATTTCCATACGGTCACTAGGGCTCTGCGAAAGCGGAATTTTGTGGCTGGTCTTTACAATGAGGATGGTGAGTGGATCACGGAGGAACACGGTAAGGCTGAACTTGCCACCGATTTTTACCGGACTCTATTCACTTCGGAAAACGGGGTGGTGAACATGAGTGAGAGAGTGGCTGCTCTTCCCATTGACCCCTGTGTTACTCCGGATATGAATGAGACCCTGACTGCTGAAGTTCTCCCTACAGAAATACGGGAAACTGTATTCTCTATGGGATCCAAACAGGCGCCAGGGTCGGATGGGTTTACAGGGAAGTTCTTCAAAGCCTTTTGGGATATAGTTGGGGACTCAGTGATCCAAGCGGTGAGCTCGTTTTTTGAAACCGGTAGGATGCTTCGCAGTTTTAATCATACTTGGTTGACTTTGATTCCGAAGGTGGACCAAGTCCACTCTATGCGGCAGTTGCGTCCGATTAGTCTCTGCCAGTTTGTGTATAAGGTGATTACTAAGATCATGGCAGGAAGGCTTGCTGGTATATTGCCGCAAATTATTTCTGATGGTCAGAATGCTTTTATTCGGGAGAGGCAGATTGTTGATAACATTCTCTTAGGGCATGAGTTAATGCATTACCTGAAAATCAAAACCCGAGGGAAGAAGGGATATATGGCTCTGAAGGTTGATATGGAGAAGGCCTATGATAGAGTCGAATGGCCTTTTCTCTTAGGGGTTTTGGAAAAAATGGGATTTAACTCGATCTGGAGAGGATGGGTTCAGGAATGCCTCCAATCTACGTCATTCTCGGTCTTAATGAATGGGACCCCAGCTGGGTTTTTTTTCCTCCACTAGAGGGCTCAGGCAGGGTGATCCGCTTTCTCCCCTTCTGTTTGTCATTTGTACGGAAGGGTTCGCGGCTCTCCTTCGTCAAGCCATTTCGGTTGGGAAATTACAAGGGGTTAAGGTGGCCCCTCGTGCGCCTCGTATCTCTCACTTGTTCTTTGCCGATGATTCTTATCTTTTTCTTAGAGGCTCCCTCCAAGAATGTGAGAATTTGATCGAGGTTCTTAATGAGTACGAGGAGTTGAGTGGGCAGAGAGTGAATCTTGACAAGTCGGCTGTGTGCTTTAGTAAAAATATTGCGGAACCGGACCAGGAATTCTTGGGGGAAATATTGGGAGTAGGGGCAGTGGGAGTCCATGACAAGTATTTGGGCCTTCCTTCTCTGATAGCCCGGTCAAAGATGGCTACTTTTCGCTATCTGGAGGAGAAACTTCTGGCTCGATTGCAGGGGTGGAAGCGGTGAACACTGTCATGGGCTGCTAAGGAAACATTGATTAAATCTGTAGCATTAGCCCTGCCTCTGCATGTTATGTCATGCTTTAAACTTCACCTGGCGCTGTGCCGCCTTCTTGATAAGCATATAGCCCGTTTTTGGTGGGGGGTGGAAGAGGGGAAATCTAAGATTCGTTGGATTTCTTGGAGGAACATGTGTAAAAGTAAGCATGAAGGGGGCATGGGGTTTCGCCGATTTGAGCTTTTCAATCAAGCGTTGCTTGCTAAAATTGGTTGGCGTATCCTTACGGAACCCCAGTCCCTTCTGGCCCAGGTGTACAAAGGTAAATATTTCCCGAATGGGTCGTTTCTGTCTGCTCAGGCCCGGTCTCGTCCGTCGTGGGGATGGCAAAGTATCATATATGGTCGACAATTGTTGGAATCAGGGTTGCGTTGGCAAATTGGGAATGGCCAAAAGGCTCTTCTGCTTACGTCCAGTTGGATACCTTCGCAACATCCCCGGCTCCCAGTCTATAACCCGTGCGTGGTTCCTGATGGGGAGGGTTTGAGGGTGGAGGAGGTGATCCAGCGTGGAGAGGGTCGGTGGAATGAGCAAAAACTTAGTCAATGGTTTGACCCGACGACCTGTAAAGCCATTAAGGGCATTCCGTTGCCGCGGCAGGATATTGAGGATAAATTGATTTGGCATTCGACCCCGGATGGCCTTTTCTCGGTTAAGTCCGCGTATTACGTCGCGGTGAATATGGATCGGCT